CATACACATATACACACACACATATACACATGCATACATGTACACACCCGCCCCCACCTGCACTATGTTGGGGTGTGACAAGCTGGACAGTATCTCCACCTCCTTGCACATCCTGCCCACCCCCGCGGAGACCTCGCTCTCCGTGGCCCCGAACAGCCCCACGTCGGAGAGGGGGAGCTCCTTCAGCGCCACCAGGGTCTCGCCACGGTACCTGAGGGGGCGTGTGGGGGTGGGGTGGGGTGTGGGGGAGGGGTGGGGTGTGGGGTGGGGTGGGGTGTGGGGGAGGGGTGGGGTGGGGTGTGGGGGAGGGGTGGGGGAAGGGTGGGGTGTGGGGGAGGGGAGGGGAGTATGGTTGAGGGTTTTATAACACCAAAGCGGCGCTTGTGAAGGTGTTGTGAAGGTGGAGGGGAAAGGCGGCAATCACACACCTCCGACATCACATTGCAAAACAAATAAACATACAGACTGCCGACGCCCAAGACTGTCAACTGGGAAAGGGAGAGAGGCCGATCATATGATAGATGATGGTGATGGTGATGGTGATGGTGATGGTGATGGTGATGATGGTGGTGATGATGCAAAGGACGCAGAGAGAAGTCGAAATACCGACGTCCCCCTCCCCCACCCAGCAGTTGCAGGCTCTTCACCTTTCCTCCCCTCTCCCCCCCTTCTCTCCCTCCCTCCCCCCCTGTCCCTCACTTCCGCGCCTTGTACACGGCCCCAAACGCGCCCTTCCCCAGCATCTCCAAGATGACGTAGCCGCCCACAGACCGCAGCCCGCTGCCCTCCCGGGCAACAGACACGTCGTCCAGCGCCGCTGATACACCAAGACGCTGCTTCTCGGATAGCTCTGAAGGGTGGGAGTGGAGTGGGTGAAAGGTGGGGTGAAAGGTGGGGTGAAAGGTGGGGTGAAAGGTGGGGGGAGAGGAGGTAGATTACATCTTGTGCAACATTTCAAACCGTCAACTGCCATTTGAAATTTTAGCATTGTGTGGCGAGCGGGGTGGAATTACGAACTGCGAAATGGGGCCCCAATGATAAGCGGAAGGGCGGAGGAATGGAGCGGTAGCGGTGGGGTGTAGGGGTTCATGCGACCCACGGGTCGTTTCAAGAGCTAAACAGGGAGGTTTTTTGAGCTGGCTGGCTGGTTAGTATTTTAGCGTTCTGTGGTCGGATCTTGGGGTGTTTCTAAAGACACAGCTTAATTAGGAATTCGAACGTTTGGATCTGGTCGTGTGCGCTTTGCACTTTTCGAGGTAGAAGGGCAGGGCAAAGCGGCAGAGGGAAGGGAGGGGAAGACGAACCACAGAGGAGTGATGCTGATACCAGTGATAGACAGGGAAATAGCAGGGGTAGGGGGAGAGGGAGAGGGGTGGGTTCGCTTCGGGGAACATTAGGCCCTTCTTACTCCTTCTTCCCCCTCAACAACCCCCTTCAGCCGCCGCCTCCTTGAATCCTGCCCTCTTACACACATACACACATACACACACACCCCTCTTTCCCGCCGTAATTCCCCTCCCCCTCCCCCTCGCCTCCCCTCCCCTCCCCTCCCCCCCTCTCCCCCCCCCGCCCATCTCACCCTCGAATTGGGTGACTAGCGGCGCATAAGCCATGAGCTGGGAGTTGTAGTGACCTGCGTCGATGAAGGCGGCGAACAACTCCGGTGGGAACAGCCGCTTGAACATCTGCATGGGCCCGAACACCCGGGGGCGGGGGGAAGGAGGGGTAGGGGAAGGGGGGTAAGAGTGTGGCAGTAAAAGAGATTGTTAACGGGCCGGGGGGCATTTCCCGGACAGCCGGGGACTTTTTCATGTACGACAGGAAAAACCCCGACGGGAAAGCCCCCCAGATGGGGCGGGCGCAATATCCTCCTCTCGCCCCCAGATAGGGAGGATGTGTGTGTGTGTGGGGGGGGGGGGAGCTGCGGACCGCAGTCAACGGAAGCCGGACGTTCAACTAATCCCCCAGCGCGCGGTTCGCTTCTTGTTCCCCTTCCCCTTCCCCTTCCCCTTCCCCCGCCCCTCCACCTTCCCCCACATTACATACAAACATGCGCTACGTAGCCCCTACCTTTCTGTTCCTCTCCACACTGAACAGGTACCTCAGCGCCCGAAACACATACGCCTTGAGGGACAACACCTCCCTGGATGTCTTGTCGTTGGCGCGGGGATCTGTATGTATGTACGTATGTCAGTTCCAACAGTTGGAAGGCGAAGGGAATCAAATATTAATAAAGACATTATCAACTGATTTCGAGGGAGACAGAGGGCTCACCCGACCGCCTGGTATACAACAGCCTTCACTCCCACCCACCTTCCCCCAGCGCGGGTTGCACCATCAGCAGCTTCCCCAGCAACGTCACCCCGTTACACGCCCGTATCTGCGCCGCGCACTCGTCATGCTCCGACAGCCTGGTGAGGCAGGTGGCCGCCAGCTGCAGCTCCGTAACCCGACCCGCAGGCAGGCAGTTGTGTGTCGGGTTGGAGGCCAACTCACGTACGGCAGCGCCCACCAAGGACATCAACACGGGGATAGAGCCCACCTGTGGCGGCGGGGGGGGGGGGGAAAGGAGGGGGGGAAACGGACGGGGGAAGAGAAAGGGGTTGGGTCGCCTTCAGACGCGTCCGTACAAAACCGTCTTTCTCCGCTTTCCCTGCACCTCCGCAGCTGAGCCTTGTTGTGCGCATGTGCATGTGCATGTGCATGTGTGCTTCCTGCACATGATATCCCCGCCCTTTCTGCCTGCTTCTTCTTCCTCTTCCTCTTCCTCTTCCTCTTCCCACGGCCGGGCGAGGATACCCCTCCCCTCCCCTCCCCGCAACCCCTCCCACTCGGCCCCCACAAAACACCCCCCAACACACACACAAACACAAACACACACATACACACATACACGCGGCCCACTCACGTGGTACATCTCCACCACCGCCCCCCCATCCGCCGCCACGTAGCACAGCACCCTCAGCAGGCTCTGAGTGAGCTGTCCATCCCCCCCCGGCACCAGCTGACCGACCAAGCGACCCAGACCGCTGAGGGCCAGCAACTCCCACACCACCGCCTCGCGACGAGCTAGCAGCGCAAGCAAGTCGGCTGTACGGAAAAGAGGAAAAGATAGAGGACAGAGGAAAGAGGGAGAGAGGAAAGAGGGAGAGATGACAGAGGGAAAGAGGGTGAGAGGAAAGAGGGTGAGAGGAAAGAGGGTGAGAGGAAAGAGGGCTGTATAGAAAGGAAGACAAACTGCAGAGACACATCACCGTCCTTCTCTGTGTGTATGGGAAGGTAGGGAAGGAAGCACGTGAAAAGGGACATGAAAAAGAGACATGAAAAGGGACGCGACAGGGCGAAGTGAGTGGGTGAGCCAACCCACAAACCTCCCACCCACCCACCGGCCAGCCTCTTGTACGTCAAGTCGTACTCGGTGACTATCCGCAGCAAGGTCTCCAGCGCCGCCGGGGCAGTCACGTGCACGTAGTGCGACCGGTGCGCCGCGAACCCTATCAACACCACCAGCACCAGCTGCAGTACGGCGGGGTCCGTAGAGCTCAGCAGCTGCAGCAGGGTCAGGTGGGCCTCCTCCGAGGTGAGGGCTGCCAGGCCCCACTCGTCCCCTTGGGAGCACAAAACACATACACACACATACGGATTTACATACGGATTTAAATATGGATTTACACGCGGATTTACACGCGGATTTACTTATATACATAAGTGCGAGTGCAACAATAAGCTCCATAGTTCATTCCGGCATTCTGCCTACACTAAATATACACACAGACATACAGACAGATGAACAGACAGGGCCCGGGACCTGTATAGCTCGAAGGTGGGGGGCTGTAGTCCCGGAGGTCCCGGGGTCAGGACAGGACCCGAAACTAATAACCCTCGTGAAAACTATTATATCCTATCTGAACATGAAACTAAGGACAAGAAGGAGAAGAAGAAGGAGAAGGAGAAGAAGAAGGAGGAGGAGTGTGATCCACAAATGTTGGTGTGCATGTGCGCATGTGAGGATGCGAGAGTGTGTGTGTGCGTGTGCGTGCGTGCGTGTGTGTGTGTGTGTATGTGTGTGTGGAAGTAGATATCTGGAAATGGAGGAGAGAGGAAGCGGAGAAAGGAAACACGGCTCCATGCGAAGTCACGTGGTGGGTGGGGCACATGGGAAGAGCCCCGCCAGACAGACAGACAGACAGACAGACAGACAGGTGCTCAGCCAGGTGCACCCCAGCAACCTAACGACTCTTAACAGTGACAAACCCCAACACGACATCCACCCCAACACAGAACTTCCCCTAGAGGCTCCCCCCACCTCCCCCCAACCCGCTGTAGGCTCCCCCCACCTCCCCCCAACCCACCCGGCCCAGCACCACCCACCCGCCAGCCTCTTGATGATGGAGGCGCACTCGGTCAACACCTCAATCTGGAAGGAGGTGATTGTGCCGCTGAAGTGTGCCGCGGCTTGCTCCCGGAAGAGAAGACACAGCACCTGATGGGGGGGAGGGAGGGGATTCGTTGTGGGTGGGGTACCGTCATTTACGAAGCCGAGCCGAGCCGAGCCGTGGCACGCCGTGTCTGGGGACGGTTATGTGCGCGAATGATTGACAGAGTGCGTGTGTATGTATGTGTGGCTTTCAATGATCTGAGGCGCAAGAAGGAAACGGCGATGATGTGTACGTGTCTGTCTGTTTGTCTGTCTATCTGCCTGTGTATTTGTTCCCCCCACTCGTCGCACGTATCATGTCTCAACGGAAACGGCGGAACCGTTCACACAGCCGCCGGCCCCCTCCCTCCCTCTCTGCCCTTTACAGCTAGCGCTCTAAAACACATAACCCCCACTTCCCCTTCCCCTTTTCCATACCACATGGGCGCCTCCCCCCTCCCCCCTCCCCCCTTCCCCCCTCCTTCCTCGATATGCCGCCCAGGTGCCCCCCTCCCTCCCTGGCGCCCTCCCGTCCATTTCAATATAACACTACACCGGTGGTGATGGTGGCGGGAAGGTAATTGCCGTCGAATTTCCAGCACACGCACCGGCATCTATACACATGCACGCACGCACGTCCTCGTACGACTTGGCTTACCCACCAGGCCACCAGGTCACCAGGCCCCCACCATCCCTCACCTTGATGGCCCCCACCTCCAGCAGCCGCTGCCTGAGCACCGCATCTCGGGACAGCAGCCGGGTGCACTGAAGCACGCGAAGCAGGTGGTCAGGTCGCAGAGAGCAGCGCCACGACGACTGAACAAGGCGGTAACGGACCTGCCAGACCGAAACGGCGAGCATATGGATGTATGGCTGTATGTCGTTACAGGGTGGTGGTACAGCTTCACCAGCGGCCCCCTTTCCCTTGAGGAGGCAGTTCCCTAATACTCCCCTGCTAGAGGGGCACCCTAATCTGGCTGTATGTATGTATGTATGTATGTATGTATGTATGTATGTATGTATGTATGTATGTATGTATGTATAAACACACGGGCACATACGCATACACAGTGGGGCAGCAGGGGCGGGAAATCGCACACTGCCAGTTTGTTGCACTGCCGCGGGCTGAGGCCGCAACCTCATGCAGGGTCTTTATCCTAATACCCAGGGTCCCCATCAGGCCTTTATATACGGGCACATACGATCTATACGACCACATGCATGGTATGCCGTGCGAAATATAAAACCGTTTCTTACGTTTCTGACGCACTTCGCAAAATGTCTAACGGGAGCTTGAACACAGGGTCGCCCCACAACGGCGGCTCCGAAACCGACCCCGTGCTTATTCTCCCTGATCCTAGGGGTCGACACGGCTTTGATGGAGGAAGAACCTCGGCACTGGCCGACACATCCCACCACCTTGAAGGCCGGCAGTACGTCAGGCAGCGCTTCTATACATGGGCGCGAGGTGCGCCATGTTCTGCCTTCCATACCATACGGGGCGTACAGTACGCTGTACGGCTGTCAATACACTAACGGAAAACTTTACTACATGATGGCGTGGTTAAAGTTTTGGTGCTTCAGGAGGTGGGTTTGGGGACGGAAGGAAAGGGGGTTTGGAAGGGAGGAAGCCCATCCCCACCCCCCGGCGGATTGTCCGTACGGTGGAAGATACGTAGGACCCTCACCAGCGCGTCAAAGAGCTCCCCGAAGGCTCTGCTGCTTGGTGTATTGGCGGAGACGAATTCGTACGTGTTGCTGTACTGTACGGCGACCTCCTCGAGCAAGCTCGCCTCCTGTGCCGCGGAGCAGTGGCGAAGGTCCGCACGCATGCGGGGCAGGCGGGATAGAAGGTAGGGTGGATGAAGGTAACGGGGTCGGCGGAAGAAGCTCTGGAGAACTTTTAATCACCAAAAGACACAAACCAGCTGTAGCTTGCGGAGGTGAGTTAAGAGTCCTGGATTGCTCGGCACGAAGTGGAGAGGTTGCAGCGGGGTGGTGGCCTGCCCGGGTAGGTCATCGCGTTTCGCACCTGAGATGCTTGGCTTGGTGTCTGGGTGCTAGGGTTAATACGCAGCAGCGGGATCAGGCTGGACACTGCTGTTGGCATCGACATTTGAGCTTTGCCCTCCGTCCGTCCAGGCTGAAAGGTCGATCTTAACCTATGGAGCTAACTGTAACATGCTTGATCATACTTTTGTAATTGTTCAGCACGCTCTACGGAACGCTGTGGAAAGCCGCGCAGCAGGTCATTGCATACCAAGCCTCATCATGACTACTGTAGCACATCGTAAGCATGAGCTTGCTACTATAGGATGCTAGACAGGGTTGGCCGGGACTGGAAAGTGGGTAGGTATTTGCAGCAACTGTCCTCAAAGGTCTTCGACAGCCCAGTCAGCACAATTACAAACAAATAGCATTGTTATACATTGCACATTTTTTTACCAACACAATGGCAGCATGTCGATGCTAGGCATTTGCAATCCCAACAAGCTACCTAACGGAACTCGGTTTGATCCCTAGCTTGTCGGGTAATTTTGCAACTCTCACAAACGAGCTTGACTGTAACTATTTTGTTTGCCATATTCTTGAATTCTTTCACTGAAAATTATAAGCTTATCTTTAAAAAGGTCCCCTTTTAACAGTTAACGGTCTTGGGGGGCATTCTTGTCCTTTTTTAGACACGGCGACGGATGTTATATTAGACAGCACTCCATATGTTATACTAGCTGCCGCCATTACAGCGTACCGGAGCCCATGGAAAAAAATGCAATTGGTTCGGCGGCCGACGCGGAGGTGGACATTGTACCATCCGGGGAAGCGCTACGCGTAGCGTCGGGCTGGTTGGGAATGACTTCTGAGGAAGCCCTCCAGGAAGGGGGCCCCTCAGCATCATCCCAAATACCGACCAAACGACCACAGTTGTAAGTCCAACGCGCATAGGATCCGCTGGCGCAAGGTCCGCAGGCGGCTTGGGTTTGAGGGAGGCCCACACCAAGCATATTAATCAGCACCCAGCATGCCCTCGGTCATTGCACTACTTCACGCACAAGCGGGGAGGAGGGGGATGTGCGATTGTACGATGTGTGCACTTGTGGGTGCCCGCGGAGGGGGTGTGCTAGTGCGCTAGGGAGCACTTCATCTCATGAGTCTTACGAACCATTCTGTGCATTAAATGCTTCCGCGGAAGCTTCCGGAGCTTTTAAAGCACCACGGTGGCGGGCGGTCACATGCTGGGCGGTCACAAGCGCGCATATGTCCTTTTAACACATCAGAGGCCAGGAACATGGGGCCCTCCACAAAACAAGTCCGTCCTAGTTCCCGGGAGAGCAGCCCTCGCCCCCCTGGTTGGTTGGCCTCTAAGTAGCTCTAGGCCCTAGGCCCTAGCCAGTCATTACTCCGTTCATGCCTAATCCTCATCCGCAAAGTCTCTTTCTCCTTTCTTTCTTTCTTTCTTTCTTTCTTTCTTTCTTTCTTTCTCTCTCTCTCTCTTGCTTGTTCAACGTGACACATATATGTTAAGACCCGCAACACGGCAACGTTGCCAATGACTAGGACTAGGGGAGCAAGGGCGGGCAAAGGCTTGTGTTGTGGGGTCGCGCCCTTTCCTCCCCCTCCGGATTTCCTCTCCCCCATAACAGTTCACAACACAACACAACACCCTGCTGCTGCCGCTGCCGCAATATGATCGCGTGGACAGCAGGTTTGAAAACGCACATCGTCTGTCAGCACTCGCTTGGCGCCTTTGTGCTGCTTTTCCAACTTTTGACTAATTGATCTTGGTTCCCAACTTCCAAATGCTGTTACCTGCCCATCGTAGCTTAGGTCTCGGAGCCAAGTACCTGCCGCATCATAAGGTACCGTGTATGGTGTATGGGAGGGGCCGGGCCGCTGTGGACGGTGGGGCGCTCTCATTGTCGTGGGTGATTCTGCGCTCTGGTTTTTGTGCTGGTTCCGGAGCTGGATGTGACCTCACCCTTGAATACTGACTCCGGCGTGCGCACCGAATGCACTTTTTGAATGTTGGTTCCGGAGCCGGGGACCACACCACGCACAGTCCTTGAATATTATCTCTTACAGGATATTCAAGTTATAGTTTTGGATCTAGTTCCGGAGCTGTAGACGGCTTCGGCACAAGGTTCCGCTTTAATGACCCATAGCGGCTACGCACGGCACGCTTTCGAACCCGCATGCCGTGCTCCCAATCCAGCATCGCGGGAAAGGTGTGTATTAGAAAGGTAGCGGGCCTGTCTCCACTTTCCCTCTCTGTTCTGACCTCTTCCGCTCGGACCTCTTCTTTGCTGCGGTGCTACTGTGCGGTGAGATGATGATCTCCGCGAATGCGAAAACTTGCTGGAGTCTGAGAGATTCTTGCGATGTCTGCCGAACACAACTGCCGATCTTAATATGACAGCCAACTCAGTATCATCCCAGTGCAATTCTAGACTGCTTTTTAAAAGTGCGTCAGGGTTTACCAAATAATTAAAACTCTGCTTTCGCATCCTGTTTTACGACCGTTCACCAGTGCGCCGGAAACACACTACCATTGCTGCATGGTGACGGGAGTGGCGCATGCCCTGGTCTCCATCGTCCGATTTGGGGATGATGCCAGGGAAATGCAGGAGGCTTCGATTCCTACTGCAAATATTCAAGTAATTTGCCAAGTACCCACGTCCTTGGTTGATCTTAACCCAAGTACATGAGGGGAATATCACCGCGTATATTAGTGTGCGGATACATCGTCGAGGGTGGATACACACGACCCACCCGGGTCTTCTGGGCCTTACTTACGAGCCCTAGCTTGTAAGACCATCAAAAGAAGAGGAGCTATGGGCAACCCCCGCAACCTCAATGGCTGGGCTGGGAGTGATTTTGGCGCCTCTGCTTCAGCCAGTAATGATTCATCTGCATCCCACCCCCGCTGCAGCTGGTGTCCGTTTGTGCCTCTCTCCTTTGACTCTCCACCTACATTTTGACGCCGTGTGCCCTGCAGGCAGTGGAGACGGCCTCCGCGCTGGATTTCAAACTACGGAAGAGGCTGGAGCGGGGCCTTGCTGTGCGCCGGTTAGCCGAGGAGGAGGAGCGGGAGGAGGGGGCCCGAGGCGCCGCCGCGCCACGTGGATTGCCAGCCAGCCGGGGCGCGCCTCTGTCGGCAGCGAGGAGCGCGGGAGGAGGGGTGGGTAGAAGGCCGGGTTCCCCCGAATGCTTTCGTGCCCCATGTGGGTCGCACGTAAAGTGGGTCACACGCAATGTCAACTTCGGGATGGAAAGGAAGGCTGCGAGGGGACAGGGGAAAGCATGGGGAATTGGGCAGCCGAGGCTGAGCAACGGAACCCATGGCTCTGTCAACACATGACGGGCCGCGAAAGTGATATCAGGATAGCACGCGGATGCCCTTCCGTCATTTCCGCACTGATATTCGCGATGGCTGCTCGCCATTACTACTTCCTGGCTGGATTTCTTTTCCATAAAAAGTGTACGACACCGGCGATTCCACACCATTCCCCTGTGCTAGATCTCGAGTATTAGCCTGGACAGTCCACCAACACATGGCTGTCTGTTAAGAGTCCTGAACGGACCAGGGCTTTGTGCCCGCGCATTGGTAAACAAAGGGTTCGATGCTCCGGGTTTTGCATTGGGTTTTTTCGGGTATCGGTCATAACTTAGGGTTTTTTCCTTGTTTTCCGCGGACCCGTCACTTCCGAGACTTCAGAATGTCAGCATGCCTTGTTCCCCTTTGCGCGAATCTGCTGTGCCACGCCTGTCGCTTTGTACCGTCTGTGTGCTGAGGCCGCAGACCTTGGGAATGAAGCGGAGCGTCGCGGGGGGAGGACAGGACTTCGAGGGCGAGGACGTTGACAGCGATGACGAGGAGCGAAAAGCATCAGTAATGGCTGGTGGAAAAGCAGCAGGCGGAGGTCCCGGCGCTGGGATAGCGCTGGGTAGCAAGGCGGCGAGGGAAGCTGCGCTGTTGTATGCTCCGGTTGATGGCGGGGGAAAGCGCAAAAAGGCTAAAGGAAGTAAACAACAGTGAGCTCTTTGCTTCACCTAGAACGCATCTACCACCGTTGACCTGTCAGGAGAGATCCGTCGCCACGTAGTGCTTACCGTCAATAGACTACATATTGTTCGTGTGGTGCCATATATTTTTTTTACCAGGACGTGGTTTGGTTGTGACCAGCTGTGATGCGTTGCTTTTGACCTTCAAATTGTTCACCAGTCGGATTTGGGCCTTAATCGCACTTACCGGTATCGCTCATAGATAGGTAGTGAACGAGTTTTGGACACTGGTTTTTATTTCTTAACAGCTGTACATTTGCCAACCGGCTTTACAGCTTCCTTCCTATCTGCAAATCCTGCGTGGCATGCTCAGTTCACGCCGACACTGCTGTATCAAAGTGATGAAGAACAGATGCTCTTAACCATTGCATAAGATGCCGGGACCGTTCATCAGGTTTCTGGGGTTCCTGGCACGCGATCTGTAGCTGCTTGATGAGATTGATAGCTCCGCTAAAACCATGTCACAGAATGTTGCGCATCTGGCGTACGGCCCATGGGACTTTCGGTAGCGCTGGCAACGGAGCCATTACGATAAATGGTTTGGCATCTTTGTAATACACAGTTTAACTGCACTATCAGGGCCTTCCTTTCGCATCGCTTATCGCTGTGCGAACTGGCTAGTTCTGCGCTGTACTGCTTGACTATTCGATAGCAAAAAGATTCTCGGTTTATCGCTGTTGCGAGAAGCCAAAGATGAACACAAGATCCTTCTCGTCATTATCATGACTGCGTTCAGCAGTACTAGCTTCAGAAAGTCTAGGACCGAGTTTAGGGAACGTTGCGCACTACGTTGCTGACCATCCAACGCTCTTCTTGTTAAGCTGTGACCATGAGCGAGGCAGCAGGAGCTCAGGCAGAGGAGATTAGGAGGATACTGTTGAACAAGCATCTCGATATCATGCTTTGCGGGCCCAAACGGCCTGGCAGTGCGCCCCCTCAAGCTGAAGTATTGCCAGGCTCACCGCTAGGGCCGGCCACGACTGGTATTAATATTATTACCGGCGAGCCGTTGCGTGGCGTGGGCGTGAGTGGTGGGCAGCAGCGCGCTGCTCAACCCCAAGTTGCGCAGCTAACATTAGGAGAGGCTGAAGAGCTGAGCTTACCAGTCGATTCCGAGGAAATGTAAGCGGGGAGCTTTTGCGTCGGGATAGAGCCTCATGCGGGCTTCCAATGCCACTACCCACCCTGAGCCGCAGTTTGAGATGTCAACCGGAGTATGTTTCATACTATTACACCAACGTGAGGAACAATCCACGACTTCCACCACCCCTTACCACTCGGAACGTTTGCGCGCCTTGGGGTGACCACGCAAAAAGCTTGGCAGTTGATGTTCTTGAGGAAACACAGGTAAATATTTGTACGCTTGGAACGGTAATTTTTGGTTTGGGTTTGCACTCGAGCATGTCTCCGCCGCATCTTTGTCACCCTGTTGTATTGCTGAAAATGCTACTGGGCGCTTATGTAGGCAAAGCCTTCGGACAGCAGTGAGGCTCAGACACAGGCTACGATTAATATGTTGTTTGGGAGCCAACTGAACCTGAAGGTATGTCGGAGGGCCTGGCGCATTTTGCTTTCAACATGCCCGAGCCAAGTGCGAGCTAAAATGTATTGTTAAACTCTTCCAGCAGGACGGAACCCAACCTATCCCTATCCGGGGCAACCACCTGTTCGGCCAGGTAGGGTGACGAATTTGAAAGCCGCTTGCTACTGAACGCACTGCCTTACCAATTTCTGCTTTTGTATATTTGTGTAGGACCTTGGGCCGCAGGTCAGCTCTAGCTTGGGTGCGACCACGACTATCTCTCCGTCCCAGGGGCCCGACACGTTGGCGGCTGCGTGGGCAAACATTGGGTCCTCTGCGGCAGCTAGCAGTGCTGCCCAGCAGCTGGACTCTCTCTTGAACGGCTTTGGGTCGCCAAAACCTGCTCCAGGCCTTAGCCCTCTGCTTACGGCTGAGTTGAAGGCACAGGCCAGCGGCAACTCTTTATACTCGGTGAGGATCCAGTAAACACCGCTGTCGGAGGCAAGGCTATCCAAGCTATCCAAACCCTATCTCAAGCAAGTTGATCCCGAATAGCCAGCTTCCATCCAGTTAGCTTTGACCCGTCATCTAATTGGAACGCAGGTTCGCAGCGCGGATGAGCAGGCGCTGCATGACTCCTTGTACGTTGGCAGCACCCCCCACACGCCCATGGGTAGCCAGCATGGTGGCGCCAGCCAGCTTTTCGGGGCCTTTAATCCCGATTCGCCGCGCCCTCCATCTATGGACTTGGTCGGTCGCTCGATGAGCAGCAATAGCTTGGGTGGCCCGGCGCTGGGCAAGGTGGGTACCAGCGGTCCATGGGTCTATGAGCAGTACGTGCAATTGTCACATGCCGACCCATTCTTATTATGAAGGTCTGCTTCTGTCGACCTGTGGTAATGGGATTTCTCTATCCAAACTAGGCGGGGTAATAAGTACAGTTTTGTACTTCTGCAATTTATGTGCGGAACTGAGCATAGAGCCGGAGAAGCACCACTGATGCTGTTTGGTTCAAGAGCTTGCTTTTATTTGGAAGCTGTGGTGTGGCGAATACGCTTGAAGGCAGTATCAGCTAGATGCCTTCGACCCATATCGATAGGTTCAGGAAAGCGTATCGTTGTGTTATCGCACGTGGCAGATGGCTGCTTCCTTAGCTTTGGCTCCCATGAACGTGGCCTGATTTACCATGAGCCTTAACAGCTTCTTCTGGCTCCCCTCCTTTTGGATTAGGACCTAAAGGTTTCTCCCGCTCCCGGGGCCACGGGGCGTCTCGCCTCCGTCATTGGCGATCAGCGGACAACTCTCCGGACACCCTCGAAGCTGCGCATTGGTAGCACCACTCTCATCGACGCCGACTCGCAGCAGCAACTCGTCACAAGCCTGGCAAGCGCTGACTCCACAGCTGCGGCGGCTGCCGCTGCGGCGGCTGCAGCGGCTGCGGCCGCCGCTGCCGATCCCGATAACGCCGCCACCGCTGCGGCGGCTGCTGCGGCCGCAGCGCAGCAGCTTGCATCTGCGGCGCAGGTGCAGCAGCTTGCATCTGCGGTGCAGGTGCAGGCTGCTGTGGAGGCGTTTCAGAACTTGCCGCCTGCAGCCGCTAGCGCATTTGCAGCAGCCTTGGGAGGCGAGGGCAGTCAGCCCTTGGTGTCCCCGGACGGTAAGCGATGGGGTTTTCCCGCCTCGCATTTTCTGCATACCTAAGCAATTGATCCCGAGTGTTTGGCACACGTTCCAGCAATTATGCAAGTTCGTTGTGCGCCCCTGCTCGTCGCCCCTGCTCGTCGTGCTCCAAATTGGATGGTTTCCTAAATCTGCTTTCTCGTTTTGTAATTGTCTGTGCTGTACGCAGTCCTGCTAGGTAGCGCTGGCGCACAGCAGCAGCAGATGCAGGTGAGGTAAAGTTGGCGAGGTCGGTATTTGCAAATGTGGTGTGAGGTAGCGGTCCGTTCGTCTCGATGAAGGAATGACATTCACTTACGCCTTGCGAGTTGCGGACAGGCCTGATATTGGCCTGCAATCGGAAATGATATTTGCGGCTTGCAAGGGACAGCAGGCCACCTCCCATGCTTATGCGATCTCCCTAGTGTGTATTCTTCCTATTAACGCCGTTCCTTGTGGCGCGGATAGTTGCGGTATGTTAGCCCTTCCGTGCGCAGGAGTTGTTCTGGAATGAATGTATCCTCACCTGCCATCTCCCACTCGCGTCTCTGCCAGGCTATGTACATGGCGGCTGCCGCGATGTACCCCATGTACTACGCACAGCAGGCTCAGCAGGCGGCTGGCATGCAGAGCATCCAGGTGCGTGCTCATTTTTTAGGCATGGCTGGATGCTGGATGTAGCACTGTGTAGCATAGCAAGTCTTGCGGGCCAGAGACACGGGAAGACGGTTGGTATTAGCACACCGTGTTTTATTCCGTGTACGCGGCGTAGGTCTGGTTCTTGAAGGGTTTGAAGGTATCAAATTGGAAGGCAATAGCAGGGACCCTGGCCAATGGGTCAAGAAATGCGCAGGATGGTGGAAGTGTGCATTGGTCCATACGATGGCTTTTTTAGCCAGGAAAGGAGGCACAGTGCGTGTAGGCCGAGACGCCAAACTGTGCAACCTGCGTTACCTGTATGACCACCGATTTAGCCGGCCAGTTTCTGACGCAATGGTGCGTGCATCACTTCGGTGTGCAGAATGGAATGCTGCCTTACCTGTGTGCTTGTGAACCCTAATCCTTGGGGCTGCGTGAACCCGTATGCGTAAATCCGTATGGAACCCGCAATGGAATAGGTGGCATCGGTGGTTTTGTAATCCCGTCCACTCGTCATGTTCTTCACCCGCAGGCTATGCAGGCTGCGGCCATGGCCGGATTCCCTGGGATCCCTGCCACCGGTGCTGGCTATGCGATGATGCCCGGCGGCGTGCCAGCCGCCATGCTGCCTACTGCCTACTCGGCCGCCGTTCTTCCGGGTCTAGCACCTGCTGCTACAGCCTCACTTTTCGGCACCGGCACCGGCGGCGTGGCCTCGGGCCCCGGCATGACTGACGTTTCAGCTCTTTCAGGGCTCAGGTCGCAGCAACAGCAGTTTGGCGCGGGCCTCACACAGCCGTTTCCCTCGGGGATGGCCAGTGGCGATTATGGTGTGTACTATCAGAAGGTGCTCGAGGCACAGGCTGCAGCGGCAGCCATAGCAGGCAGCGGTGTTGCAAAGGACTCTGACGCAGTCGCCACCGCAGCACTGTTGCGCGGCGGCATGCCGCCTCCGCCACCACCACCACCACCACCGGGGCAACCGCCGCCGCCACCGCCACCAAAGGACAGCAAGCGCAATAACGGTGGCGAGCCACACTCTGGTGCAAGCGGGAATTCTCTGGCCTCTGGAGCCGGCTCGGAACGGCGTCTACGGGGCCAGAACTCTGGTCGCGATCTCGGGAGCCGTGCGAGTGGCACCGGTGGCGCACATGGCTCGTCTGGGTCGCACTCGCCTTCACAAGGACACTCCGGATTGTACGGCTCCCCACACTCGAGCAGCCGCCTCCGCTCTGGATCGGCATCGCAATATGAGAACCTTCAGTCGGTGGGTAGCGGCGGCTTGGCAAGCGTGAACAGCGTTGGAAGCTCGGGCCAGCCCTTTGGTCGCGAGTCCTTGCGCCCGGAGGGGCCGCAGCGCCGCAATAGCCAGCGACGTGGTGACCTTTCGGCGGCCATTGAAGCTACGGAGGCGACAGCACAATCTGGCGGCGGTGGAGCAAGCAGTGGTGCTGGTGGCGGCAGCGGCCGTGGCCCCCGCAGCAGTGGTGACACGCTGCTCGATGAGTTCAAGACCAACAAAACGGGTCGGAAGTATGAACTACGGGAGATCTTGGGCCACGTTTACGAGTTCAGCTTGGATCAGCACGGCAGCCGCTTTATTCAGCAGGCACGTGGAGGGGGGCTGGTAGTGTTGGCAGGTTTATGTCCTGGCAATGTCTTCCGGGGCACTTGGGCAGGGAAGAGGACAAAATTACAGCATCCCATCAATGCTTTTAGGTCCTTTGCACTTATGGCTTGTTGGCATTCGGCCGTGTGGAACACGGCTGTGAGATGATAATCTGTGGGCGGCGCCTAACCCAACCCACGTTCTTTGCTCCTTTCCTGTTGCAGAAGCTGGAGTGTGTGAATAACGAGGACGTCGATGCAGCTTTCGGCGAGGTGGTACCACGTATCCTGCACCTCATGACGGATGTCTTCGGTAACTACGTTGTTCAGAAGTTCCTGGAGCATGGTAGGAAGAGGAAGGGTGGAAATTTTACGACACATGGAGACATGCGTTGGTTGGTCAACGGACAGCAGGCGATGCCGATTCTCAGGAGTGATGATGACGCCATTACCTGCCTTGTCCTTGTCCTTGTCCTTGTCCTTGGCAACGACTGATGATGACGTCATTACTTGACTTGTCCTTGTCCAACTCTGTGGCAACTCTGCAGGCACTCCGCAGCATCGGGCCTGCATTTCCAAGGCCCTTCACGGCCACGTGCTGCAGCTGAGTTTGCAGATGTACGGCTGCCGCGTCGTGCAGAAGGCTCTGGAGGTTTTTACAGAGGATCAGCAAGTGGACCTCGTTTCGGAGCTGGACGGCCACGTCATGCGCTGTGTACGCGACCAAAACGGCAATCACGTTATTCAAAAGTGTATTGAGTGTGTACCCACACATCGCATCGCAGGGCTTCTGGACAATTTCCTCATGTGTGTGGTGCCCCTGTCAACGCATCCGTTTGGTTGCCGTATCATTCAGCGTATCCTGGAACACGTGCGTGACCAGCGTCGTCGCGCGGCAGTCATGGCCGATATTCTTGGCGCCGCCGTACAGCTAACACAGGATCAATACGGAAATTACGTAATCCAGCATGTGCTGGAGAGGGGTACACCAGAGGAGAAGTCTTCCATTATCGGCAGCCTGTCGGCTACCGTGGTGCAGTTGTCGATGCACAAGTTCGCGAGCAACGTGATTGAGAAGTGCCTAATCCACGGGAGCACCGCGGACCGCGACCTGATCATCAATCGCATGCTTGGTGCGCCGCAGACCCTGCAGATGCAGCAGGCCGCGGCGGGCGGCGTTGATGGAGATGTGGAAGTTGAGGTGGGCGATGGCTGGCTAAAATTTAGCAACTGGTGCTTCTGCGGGCTTGCCTATCTCAGACTTTAGCAGTCGGTGACCACATCACGGTATCCGCTGTCTCTTGTGCCTACACGTTTTTGCACAAATCATCTTCCTCTTCCACTATTGCAACCCTAGCACGATTGATAGTTCTGTTTATGTTTCTTATGTTAGCACAAGTTACAAGTTCCGGTCACAAATGGCAGGGCCCCTCAATATAAGCCCGAAGAGGGGCCCATGGACGGTCAATAGCCATTATTGTGGCGCCGAGTGAGGATGTTGATGTCCTCGCTTTTAGTATCTTACAATTCCACGTCCCACTGTATTTATTTCTCGCCCTCTTGGCGGTCTCAGCTGAGCCTCGTTGGCCCCTCCCCCCACGTGCGCTCCACTCATTCTCCCGACCTGGCTGGGTGGTCGGCCGCAGGACCCCGTGCAGGCCATGATAAAAGACCAGTTTGGCAACTACGTGGTGCAAAAGGTGCTGGAGGTCTGCACCGACGTACAGCGTGAGGCCATGCTGGCCAGGGTACGGGCGCAGCTGCACGCACTCAAGCGCTTCACCTACGGCAAGCACATTGTAGCGCGCGTGGAGAAGCTGCTGTCGGCGGGAACCCGCTTCCAGACTCACGCCAAAGGGAGGCTCCTGCCGGATGATGATGTCTTGGCTGCAGCCGCTGCCTCGGCTGGATCGCGCCTGGATGTCGTTACATCAGCTGCGTCCGGGGAACAGTCAGCTGTACCCACATGCGGCGAGGATGCTGTGAGCACTGCTGGCTCCGGCGGTTCTGTTACTGCGTCAGCTGCTGCCGCCGACGGCGGCTCCCTCTCGGATGGTGGGTCCAGTTCCCAGCCGCCCGCGCCTACCACACCACCTGTGTCTGCGGGAGCCGGTGAGGGAGGCTATACAGGTAGCATGATGATGACGGCCCCGACATCGTCTTCGGCGTCTTCAGACGGCGGGGCGGTAGCCGTGGACCGGTCAGGCGCAATGGGCCTTGAGAAGGAAGAGTCCCCGGAGGCGCCCGCTGCCGCCGAGGACGTGTGAAGTGCGTGTGGCCCTGATGTTCGTGGTACCACACCAGACACTCGTTGAATTCGCCTCGCCTTGCCTAGCATGTCATGTCATGCCACTGTCAAGGATCCCAGAATTCCTGGTCCTTGACGCGGCAAGCCGCCAAACGCGCCAGGGTCTGCGAGGTTGTACATTCTTGGGTGTCTGGATGCGTTATGGGTTATGGGCCGTTTGGTCCGCGAGCCATTGAATAGTAAGTCGGTGTGGGCGCCGCAATAGTCACGTGGGCAATAGTGTGGTTGGGCTAGGGGCCATCCTTTTCGTATCGGAATTCAAAAGCGTATCGGCGTATCCCTGCGGGATGCGCTTCGGGCTGTTCGCGTGCTACTTACATGCTAGTCGGTATCGCGTTTCTCCACGTGCTTGCACAACAGCCTGCTCGCCTGCTAATTGTGTATGTAGTTGCTTATATGTAGTATTCCCTTTCCCTTTCTTTGGCGCACACGCCGCGTGGCGTGCGTGTCGTCTTGGAATCTTTTCTACTGCGGGATGTGTGCCTAATGCTATTATTATTCGAGTGTGTCGGAGGAGTGCGTGTGCCCGCCGGCCAGGCGCGGTAATGCGCTACCTGAGAGCGGTTGGCGCATTCATCCTGGCTGGTGGGCTTGTTCAGGGTCGTCCTGAATGGGGCTCGTCCTGCGTTTGTCGACCTTGCTAGTGGCGTGTGGCTGGCGTGGCATACCGGTGCCAGCAATAGGCAACCTTAATTGAAGGCTGCAATGGTAGTTGGTGGTGGCGGTAAAGCCTGTAGAAGCTTGCTTTGTTTTGCTTTGCATATATCGCGTAGTGAAGAGGGAGGGAGGTTAAGGCACGGTGAGTGATTGGGGACGGCGGGAACTCGATTTGGCAGGTTGGAGTGTTTGGGGGCCATAACAACATCTCTTCCATTTCAATCATAACCCGATCATACAGCAGCAAGAGAGGATGGTGGCACTGCACATCTTCTCAGGATTGCTGGTTTAATGGCAGGATGGGTACGCCTGGAGGGTGTGCAGGTGCGGCTTGATGCGTGGTGATTTCTTCCAGTCGAAAGTCTTTTTTTGGCTCTCTTCGGGGTTTCCTCAATCCTTAGCAACACATGCGCGTGGTATTCATATCTGAATAGATATATGAGGGCTTGCAGCGCCCGTTTACGGAAGTGCTGTGAGTCGTAGGTCGTAGGGCTCGCGGAGTCCAGACGCTTTCATTTCTAGGTAGCTTGCGAGATAGGCTATCGGCAACAGAGTAAGCAAGGCGCCCAGCTTCCTTGTGGAGTTTGGTGGCGGATTTAGGCGTACGGACGGTTTGAATGAATAGCCCGGCAGCTGTAATATGGCTGCCAGTGGGAGCCATGCGGTTCTGTTCCGGACGACCGCTTCTATGAGGGTTGCGCCCTGCTGTGTATCTGTATCCGGCATACACGCCAGCATCACTCGGCATCCCCGCCGCCGCCCAGAGTTATACATATAACACCGTACCGGGCAATAAGGACTCGACAGGGTTGGTTTGGTGGGCAAGGTGCACGTTGGCTGTTTCGACGCGCCACCTGGACCGAACGGCTTGGTGCGGTAGGTGTACAGCTTTGTCGGCCGCGAGATGATTCGGCGATCCTTATATGCTGGGCTTGTTAGACTTTTCATACGGCGCAGGTTTCCAACGGCGCACAAGCGCGTTGGCAACCGCGTCCTCATGTTCGCACAGCTTTGGGCTTTAATAGTGATATCATTCGTAAACGCGTCATATTAAAAGGTCGCCTCAGTGCATTGGCGGACCGGACTGTACCGTTGGCACTGTAAAAAATAGTACCGAAAGGGCGCGCACGTCGGTCACTGCTGTGGTCGTGCGTGCGATGTCACACCTTTTGGTAATAAACTAGAGAAAAGCATATCCCGCTTGCGTTCGTGTGGTGTACAGATGCGGTATTACATCTGCCCCTACTTTTTGGGCATCCATATCTGAAAAGGGTACATATTCACACCATATATTTTTGAGTGGTTTGGCGGCTTGGCTGGTTCATATTCCGTTCCACAATTGCGGTGCAGGAGTAAATCAGGATGACATAGTTATATATCCAAGGGAGGAGGTGAAGGAGAAGTGGTGTAGTACGACCACAGAGGTGGTGTTCGGTGCTCCGGTTCACGTTAGGCTGCCGACCCTGCTGCTTCGCTCTTCTCCAAGCGTATTTGACTCGGGTTGCTCGACGCTTCCGAGCGGGGCTTTTGAGGGGGCAGAAGCCGGCCAGGCGCTTGCAGTATTGCAAAGTGTTGGGGGCTATATATGAGTGGCGAAGTGACGTAAGGAGACCGCGTTGCTTTTCCATTGTCGACCATGGTAATATGAATGCGGAAATCAATACCTGTATTCATGCGCTATAAGGGGGCGTTTAACTCGCAGCATCGGAAGTACTGCTGTGCCAATTAAGAATGGAGCTTGGTAAGTTATACGTATTGTTTAATGCTACCCGGTTCTACGATGACGCACAATCTTGGCGTGTATGAAGAAGCAGGTCACCCAAACCCTACGGCAGGGTGGTTGGGAGAGGCAACACGCATTCCGCGACACGCATTCGACACGCTCATGTAATAACGCAGCAGGCCCCCGGTTAACGAGGCAACGGCTGCAGTCAAGTAGTTACATAATTAAGTAGTTACATAAACTAGTAGTTGCATAATAATAATGATAACGTGACTTCCATGGCCGTATGCGCACCCTCTCTCCATTATAACCGCAACCCAGACCAGAAGCCCGGCCGCTGGCTCCCGTTTTGTTTTTGCGGTGGCTTACCTGGCCGTGTTAAAGGTGTCCTTGTCGCGCGCCTCATACTGCATGGACTGCATATAATTCGGTATACAAATTAATCCTCGTCTAATGCCGCTGCATGGCCAAGCTGGCAGGGCAGCGGTGTACGACCCGACAAAGCTCGCTTGCTCGAGGGGGGGTAGTTTATGAGTAGGGGCCACAGAAGGGGGCAGGTGAATGAAGGGGGGGTTCTGAGCTCACCCTCACCATGGGATCTATATATGATTACGTGCTCATGCATAGCAGGGGCGAGGTGTTTTCCTCTTTCCTTATGGACGGGGTGCTGAGTTGGTCGGTAGCAGGTGCCAACCTGCCCTGACTCGACATTCGAGTTTCCCGCCGAGGACGGCATGTGTCACCTGGACAAGGGTTTAAGTGGTCGTACCAACCCCCTGCTTGGGGCGTACATGTTCGATGTGTTAGAGTCCGATCCTGATGAGGCAAAATGTAAGCCGTGTAAGCTAGCAAGGTGAAGCTGGCAGTCATAAGCCAATAAAAATGGTCTATTTATCGATGCCGTTCAAGAGTCGAGTCCATCGCAAGCAAGCAAGCATAGGCGTCAACGGTAAAGCTTTGTTACAAAGCTTGAAACATTTAGCATGAACTGAATCAAATGCTTGATCAGCATGATACATGAGGAAAAACACGGATCTGGTGCATGTGCTCCTAAGAATCCCTGAAAAGCCATGAAGCACTTGGAAGCCCGTTTGGCGGGTTGCCTGCTGCCTAAAGGATGAGCGGCATCCACGGCTGGGACTGCTGGGAAAACAACCGCCGCGCGGCCTTCCGACAGACTATCTGCCACATTACAAATATGTCTCACAATACGGATCAAGACTCTGCAATCTAAAACCTAAATTAAAAAAATGGCATGATTGTCAGTAACACAAGGAATCCGTGTTTTTTCTCTTACGTCCTGCATAATGGCTTCTGACATATCATCAAATATTGCATACTCGGCTGGTCTGTCCTAGGTAAACGGTCAAAAGAAATGGGAGATCGAGGCACACAACTATTTAGCAACTGATTATATGGGTCTCGAATTTTTCTATTGTAGTCAACCAGCAATGTGATTGGCATGACCAATTACTGCGGGCCATAACAAAGAGCCATACCATACGCGACAGACAGTGTCGATTAGGACCGATGCATCGACGGTTTGAATGAATAGCCCGGCAGCTGTAATATGGCTGCCAGCGGGAGACATGCGGTCCTTTGCGGACGACCGCCTCTATGAGGGTTGCGCCCTGCTGTGTATGATACATCTATGGGACAGGGGGGTCATATCTTCATCATGTGGCCGCTACCCGGCGAAACCCTGCCTTCCCCGGTATTTCGGGGCACCCTCATCTAGTTACCCTAGCCAACTTCTCAGTGGGTCACTCAGGTTCCGCACCCACCACCGGCATCCAACGGAATCTGCCGGATCAACGGCGGCTCAACTCCGTTCCTGGTCAGCTCGCAAGATCACTTTATCCCAGGTCACCACCGTCCATCGACTAGGGCCACTTTCACCTTCCACAGAAATTTTCGACTCTGACAGGTCTTGGTCACGGAACATCCGGGGGCATCAATGTGTGCTTTACCAGTAGTGCCTGACCTGTGTTTATCTGTATCCGGCATACATGCAGCATTACTGATCATCCCCGCCGCCGCCCATAGCACTGTATGTACCGGCCAATAAGGACTCGATGAATATTAAGAACTCTAAGGGCCCAGGCTTCTGGGATATCAGTGAACAAATCCCATTGGGAATCTTCCACCCATCCATCGTGAATCTCATCATCTGGCTCCTTTTAGCTTTTATACCTCCACTTCAACAATGCCTCAGCAGGGTCACTTTCATATGTCGCTCGGACATCTCGCATAATAAGCGTTCAACCAGAACAACTGCCACTTACTATATATGCGTTGGGCCTTCGGCTCTCTTTTATCTATGGTGTTTCTGAACTCTTTTATCTGGTGGAACGAAATCTGTGGCCCCTTTCGCGCTCCTCCCCACGACTCACGGCTCCACGTACGCACGCAGCTCGCACTCCCAACCTTGCGAGCAGGTGTCGTGCGATGGGCTTGGCGCTTACATGAATGACGATAATTGTACCGACGCACAATTTTATCGCGATTGGGCGGCCGCGTCTGGGCTAAAGGGAGCAATGCAAGAGGGCTATGCAGTTGGACTGTTGGAGTTTCGACGTACGACACCGAGGGACCAAACCTTACAAGCTCAAGACCTGTATTATGTAATACTCGTCAATATTACAAAAGTGCAACATAAGGAACGGACCTTAAGGGCCCGCCTTTGACTTCCTGTGACAGCAGTCATCATGGGAAACCGCGTATGACCTTCGCTGAGGGGCGTCTGTGCATTGTGCTTGATGGACCAGCCGACCAGTCGATGGCTCCGAGCCGTGCGGTGGTCTCTGCAAATAGCAGTGGAGTTGGCTCCGCGGCGCAGCATGACGTAGGCCTCGCAAATCTTAAGTCCACGCCCATACATCATAAAACACAGTGATAAAACAATCGTGTTTGCATGCAGGAACTTGCGGTATCTTACCCAGCAAGGAGCTGTATTTGCTTCTCAACCGTGCGGAAATGCTGCACAGTCGTTATTAGTAGCCAGGCTTTCGAGAATTTCATCTTGTTCATCATTTTATGCAACTGCGTTACTCTTGCCCTCAGCAGCCCAAGGCAGGATTTCGGGTCTACACGCCTTGGTGAAACCCTGGCAATTTTTGATTACGTTTACATAGGCGTTTTTACAGTTGAGATGTTGCTGAAGGTCATCGCTTTGGGCTTCGTCTTCGGAAAAGGGTCCTACCTTCGTGACGGTGAGGCTGGTGTGCTACCTGACAACCGCAACGGTGGCGCAATCCTTTCACATCCTTTGACCCGCTGCTCTAATATTCCAATAATGCTTCGAATTTTCCTTGATGCGCCCGAGTAGGCTGGAACTTGTTGGACTTCCTGGTGGTCATCATGGGCTATGTGAGCCTGCTGTCGCCCAGCAACCTGACCGCGATCCGGGCGTTTCGCGCAATGCGACCCCTGCGTACCATCAACCGGGTGAAGGGCATGAAGGTGCGCCTATGTGCCAACTTGGCGGAAGGACATGGCGGTGTCTGTCCTCCATGGCGCCCTCCTAGGATTTCTTCCCCTGGTGGCCGGCGGGGTTTCGCACGCTGGCTGGATTCTGAGAATTAATAGTCCCACGCGCTCGCTGGCCACATCCAGTGTCCCAAATGCCGCCAGGACAACAAATAACCAGACGGGAGGGGAGAGGGCTCTCTTGAACTGGGACTTTCATGATGTCATTTTAGTAGTGGCACATTTTATTCTCATGTAGAGGCTAAATGTCAGCCAGGGAGGAGCTAGGATCTGTTACGAGCTGCTGTGACCCACATCAGATGCGCTCATTGTCCTGTTTGGCCTCTGGGTCGCCCGGTGGGGGGTCAGAAAGCTTGTGTTGCGGGGGGTGCACAACAGAATGCGGAGGCTTGAAAAGCACCGATGATTATTTAGTACCAGCACTGCGATGACGATGATGACGGCGGATGAGCTGAACGAAGAAGACTATACATACTAGAGAAATCGCCGTCGTTTTAATAAATGTGCGAACGTAACGACGATCATGGAGGGGCAGGAGCTCCTATTCGTCAGCAACCAGACCTTCCGCTCTCTGCAGCCGCCACTTCCGATCTGGTTCCCGTGGATTGTGGATTGTGGGATTTTCTTCTTCCTTCGAAGGACGGGACGGCGCACCCGTTCTAAGGGCGGGTCGGGATGGGACGGGACTTCACCCCGTCCGGGGCGCGCACGTTTCAGCTGGGGCCACTACATCCCGGGGTGGCCGCGGTCTGTGGCTCACTGGTGTCCCAGCAGGCTGGAAGTCCTCCCAGCTAGTTCGATGCCTTGCCTTGCCCCCTGCCTTGCCTCCTGCCTTGCCTTGGCCCCTGCCTGCGGCACCTCGTTCGGGTCATGGGGATCTCGAGCCGGGTTTAAAAGTTGGTTGGAGCTTTGAAACTCCATATATATATATTCGTCTGGGTGGGTGGAGGACTTGCCGTGTTGTTGGCCAAAAGGGCATTTTCCAGGACTCAAAAGGATGCTGGTAACTGCTGTTGATGAGGACAGGGTGAAGGCGAAGAAAGAAAGGAAGAAGCATCTGTGTGCCCTTTTGCTCGTGCGCCTGCTTCTGCGCTTGCATGTACATACGTATGTATGTATGTGCATATGCGTGTTGAACTTAGATGAGATGCACGTATGTGCACGCGCCTGCTGACCTTTACAGTACCCCTCTGTCCACCGCCTTCCTGGGCCGGGGCTCGCATCGCAGGTTCTCGTCAACACGATGCTTGGCTCGCTGCCCATGTTGTTCGACGTCTTCCTGCTGTGCGCCTTCACTTTCTTCATGTTCAGCCTCATTGCAGTGCAGCTTTTCGAGGGCGTCCTTAGGAACAGGTACGAGAATGTATGTATGTATGTATGGCACTATGCATGTACGTAAGTATGTATGTATCATCCATGCCGACTTCTGCGAAGTCAGTGACTTTTTCGGGTTCAGCACCCATCAGCACCGCCGGCATCCAGTGGGATCTGTCCCCAGAGGTGAACGGCGGCGTCAACTCCACTCCTGGTCGCCTATGTATGCATGTATGTATGTGTGTATGTATGTCAGGTGTGGCCTTCCGGATTTCAGTGGCGCCTACAACGTTTCATTGGCGGGAATTGCGGGTGGAGGTGGCCATGGAGGTGGTGGCTATGGTGGTGTGGTGGTGGCCAACGTGAGCTATCTCGTACCTGACGACCAGACGGAGGACATGTGCAGTGGGCCGCTCAGCTCGGGTGAGTGAGTGGGTTGGTTGCTTTGTGAGTTCGTTGCTTTGTGAGTTCCTTGGTTTGTGGGTTGGTTAGTCAGGGGCTGGGGGGGATGAGAGTAGGGTTTGGGTGTAGGGGTGTGCGATGCATGGGGCACGGTGGGGAAAAAGAGGCTGTGCTTTTAAACAGCCGCGACCTCTCAAGGGGGTGGAGGCCACTGGCGGTGTGTGTGTGTGACCGCCCACTGACACGTTTGCCTGTACCATTAGCATTGCAGAACGGCGACCAGCAATGACTGTATGAAAGTAGTGTACTGTACTTTACTCGCTGGCGACTGAGAGTAACCCCGCTTAGGGGTAGCGATTGCCGCAGCAGGATTGTGAATCTAGGGTCTTAAGAGCGTGTGAGGGTGTGAATGTATTCGTGTGATGTGATTTATCCAGGATGTTCATCAACCTGGATGATGGAAGAAGACAACCACCAGCGTAACAGCCTCTCTTATCTCTCTATATGTGTCTATATGCCGCTGACTTCATCGCCATCTACCCACCCGCCCGCCCGCCCATCCACACGCATGTCGATGTTGCTGCCCGAGCACATACAGAGGTGGTTTGGCACCTGGGGAACGATGACTTAGTGCCAGCGGCGAATGCTGGCAAGCCGTACGCCGGTCGCGCTTGCGACAGCGGCATGTACTGCACGTGGTACGGCAACCCGTACAACGGCTTTGTGAGTTACGACAACATTTTGTGGTCGTGGCTCACTATCTTCCAGCACATCACGTTATCGGGTTGGAGCGATGTGATGTATCTGGTGATGGATGCCGTCAACTACTGGGTCTGGATATTCTACGTGGGCCTTATCATCTTTGGCGCCTTTTTCATGGTACGGCAACGAACGAAATTTTTTCATGGTACGGCAACGAACGAAATAAACTGTACATTCCCAGACATGAGAACTCTTGTTTTTTTTAATCTAATGGAGTGCGCGGAGTTCGTAGGGGAAGGGAGGAAGGGATGGCGATGCCATAAAGGCGCGTGTGGAATGGGATTTGTGTGTCTCTTCTTTCGGGATGAGGTGGAGGGGTGGGATTAGTGTTTTTCATGCCTTCCGGAATTACCTTTGACATGACATTACATGACACGACCTACCTACGGCTAATTCCTGCTGATGTCTGTCATTAAATATACCTCATTATATATGTGTATTACGCCATCTGGAGTTACTGCGTGACCCTCCAAAAGTCGTAACCCCGGGGGAGGCCTACCTACCTACCTGGAGCCCTGTCATGGGGGCCCGAGGGCCAGGGGGCCGTAAGGCTGTAGGTCCAAAATGAATGTACACTTACACGCCGGACCCATCCCCCACCCCCCGGGGGTGACCCCTCCAGGTCAACCTGGCTCTGGCGGTGCTGGCGGTCAACTTCTCCGCGGAGGGGCAGCAAGCGACTGATGAGAAGGAGGTTGAGGACAGGCAACAAGACAAGGAGGAGGACCGAAAGCGGCTGAAGCGGCAGGAGGAGGAGGAAGGAGAGCAGCAGCAGGAGGAGGAGGGTGAGCGGGGAAAAGGGCTGCGGCAGCAGCAGCAGCAGCAGCAGGGAGAGGCGTACCGCAGGTCGAGTACCAGTCGGAGGTTCGAGGCCGTCCTGGCGGCAGTGGGACTGGCGAATGGCGCTTACGGTGAAGGCATCAGCACGACGTCGCGCCTGGTGGCAGCACTCAAGGTTGGCAGTTGGGCGTTGAGGAAAGCGCATTTTGTTGTGTGCGTTGTGTTTGCTTTGATGTTGGTCGCCGTGTGCGGGTCGCAGTCATTGAAGATGAAGGGAAGCCGCTGCGGGCGGCCCGTGAAGAGAACAGAGGATGTGCGAACGACAGCAGATCCTTAGAAACAGTTAGTTGTGTTGATATACAAACATTTCCATTAAAAGTCTCCGCTACAAACTGAAAAACCTGCAAGCAATGAAAGATAGGCTTAATGAAAGGGTAGGGCCGGGTGCGAGCACACTACCCCGAGCAGAACAAAAAGGTGTTCGACCCCAGCTAGGAGCCAAATAAAAAGTTTACATCTTTTACATATAGATTAGATATGAAGGAAAGGCACATTGTACACCAAGATCCGCAGCATTCCTCCCGTTCAGGTTCGTCGAAGAGCCCTGCTGGCCAACGACGAAGATGCCGTACTGGCCGGCAGTTCCCCCCCGCCGGACCTGGGTCGGCTGCGGCGCCTGACCTGGCGTGTGGCCGTCAGCAGGGGCATGGAGCTCACCACCGCGGCGCTCATCCTGGTCAACACAGCCGTCATGTGCGTCAACTGGTACGGCATGCCGTACAAGGTGGAGCAGGCCACCAACTACATCAACTACGGCCTCACTTGCTACTTTGCAGTGGATGTGGCGATACGGCTCTCGGCGTTTGGTTTTGCGAGGTGCGAGCTATCTGTAGCGCCAACGATTGGGCTCAGTGGATATGGTTAGTTTGGTCCTTGGTAGCCATAGATGTATGGGTAAGATTTTAGGGGTAAGACTTTAGGGGTAAGATTTTAGGGGTAAGGAAAGTTTATCTTTTCCCGCGCTATCCTCGGAGGATCCCACGTCTCCATGGCCGTCGTCCTCGTTCACCACACGCACGCACCCACGCAGGTTCTTTCGCAGCGGCATGAACATCTTTGACTTTCTGGTGGTGGCCTTGTCTCTGGCGGAGATGGTTCTCGATCTGCTCCCTGGCGTGGCTGGCCTGGGGCCGCTGTCGGTGCTGAGGGCTTTCCGGCTGCTGCGCATTTTCCGGCTGGCTAGAAACTGGCGGGAGCTGAACGCGCTGCTGACGGGCATGTTTAAATCGGTGCAGGCGTCCATCATGCTCGTCTGTGTCATGTTTTTGTTTTTGTTTGTGGCAGCGCTGGTGGGCATGCAGTTGTTTGGGTACAGGTAAGCTTCAGCTGCCGGGCGGGTGTTTGGGGGTCACGAGTTTTCCTCTGTATGTGTATGTATGTGCGTGTGTGTGCGTGTGCGTTGTGCAGTGTGCGTTGTGCAGGGTGTGTGTGTGTAGGTTTCAAATATCTGACCCGGCCTGACACTGGCCAGGGGCTGCTGCCCAGCCCCAACGGAAAGACCGCCTAAGCTCTCTCCCGCGGACGGGAGAGGGGCGCGAGGGGGGCTTCTATGCCCTCCTCAGCGGCCGAGAGCCGCAGGTCCGCTAGCCTCGCTCTCCTCCCCCGGTGTGTGTGTGTGTGCGCGTGTGTATTTGCCTTGTGTGCATGCGTGCACAGTTGCGGTTTGTCTTCAATAAGAGGGAACTTTGTTATACCTCGAGGAATGAGGGGCAAGTCATGTGAACTGGGGCAGCCGCTTTCCCCTGTTTACTTGGTGAGCTGGAGCTCGGGTCATGTGATGATCGCAAACTCCGCTCCGGGGCCTCCACAATCTGTCTGTGTCTCTCCTGTATTTTCAGTGCCTAGCTGGATGCACACACGGCTGAGTGCCATCGCGTGCGTGTGTCGGTGTAATGGTGGGAGCAGCAGGGGGCCGGTTGGGTGGAAGGGTGAAGGTGCAGCGACAGAGCGATGGACGCCTCGGAATGCGCGTGTGCATATGCGTGTACGTGTGCATGCGCATGTGCATGCGCGTATGCGTTTGTATAAATGCGCATTCCTGATAGCTTCTGGCCTGCGCCCCCGTTCTCTTCCCCGATCCTTCCTCCCCCTCGCAGGTTCATGTTTTGTGACTACGTGTCAGGCTCCCGCCCCGTGTGTCCGCCGGGTCACCGTGTGTGGGGCCAGTGCCCCAACCACTTCCACTGCTACCTGCCCTGCGCGGAAGACCAGCAGGGCTCCTGGGTGGAGGCGCCGGGGTCGTTCTACAACGGCCTGGCCTACTGCGAGCGCTTCTGTGATAACGCGGAGGCCGCGGCGGCAGAGGCAGCTGATGCCAGCAACGGCAATAACGGCAGCAACGGCAACAACGGCAGCAACACCACGTCCGGAAGCCCGGTGTCTGGTGGGGCGGTCTTGGGCGGGTGCGAGTACCTGGCCATGGTGGGCAAGTCGCAGGTGCCCAGGGCCAACTTTGACAACGTGTTTTGGGCCATGTACACGGTGTTTCAGGTCCTGACTGGGGAGAACTGGTGAGCACCCGCTCTCCCGCGTGTCGTGATGATGACCATGATGATATTGACGACTTGTTTTGGGGGCCGGGAGCCGGATACGATTCCTTTGGGTTTGGAATCCCAGTCTTTATTCACATCCCGCGTGTGTCATGGAAGGCCTTCCTGGCATTTCAATATCCATAATGCCACTTAAGGCTGTTGACCGTCCATGGCCCCCACCGCCCCGGCGTAATAATGGGCGGCTACGGCATTTGATTTGTGCGAAACTTGTGACTTCGTCGTACTGTTTTATTGGACACCATCATGTTCTTTCCTTTCCCGCATGCCCTACACGCCCTACACGCCCTACACGCCCTACACGCCCTACATTCATCTCCGGCGTATGTCCAGCGGCACCACCCGTTCACTTCTTCCCCCCCTCCCCGCCCGTCCGTGGCCTTGTCGGAGGCAATCAGGAACGATATCATGATTGATGCCATGCGCACCGTGTCGCCCTGGGCCTCACTCTATTTCGTCTTTGTCATCCTTGTTGGGAACTACCTGGTCTTCAACCTCTTCATCGCCATCCTGCTTGACAACCTGAATTCCAAGGTCGTGGAGGCGGTGGCGGCAGTAGCAGCAGTGGCCGCGGCCACCAGCGGCAACAGCAACAATAGCAAATTCGGCAAGGGCCGGTCATCATCGTCACGCCCCTCGGCAACCACAGCGGTATCGTCGTCGTCGTCGCCGCCGCCACCGCCTCATCCGCCGCCGTCGCCGTCGCCGCCAATGCACCAAGTGCAGCTGTTGGACTGGGAGGATGTCGCGCAGGAAGATGCCGCACTCACGCGCGCTGCTGGAGGCGGCAGCAGGAGCAGCGGCGGCGGCGCCGGCAACAGAGCTTGTGGTGCCGAGAAAAGCGGCGGCGGCGGTTTCGGGAACAGTGTTTGTGGTGGCAGTGGTGGTGGCGGAGCCGGGGCCGGCGGCACAAATGGCGTCTCTCGTGGGGATGGCCAAGCCGTCGGTGTTGCAGGTTTGCCTCAAGATGGTGTCGTCGTCGAGGCGCAATCGCCGCGGCTAGCATCCACAACGCCGCGGCGGAGCGTTCGAGAGGTATCGGGTCGATGGGAGGAGTTGGAGGAAGGGAAATCGCCGGAGCCGTCGCAAGAAACGGCCGCCGGGTCAGCGGCGGCGCCGCCGTTGGCAGGTGTGACGCGAATGGGATCAGCTTCCTACCGCGAGAATACGAGGCATCAGCGTGAAGAGCAGCTTCGACAGAGGAGCTGGCTGTCGTGCCGCCGGGTCCCTAGCAGCAGCGGCGGCGGCGGTGCCGCCGCCGGCGAGGATAGCATGCACGGCAGAGCATACAGCGGCAGCGGCGGCGGCACGGCATTAACCGTATCTGCCCGGTGCTCTGCGGGGGGTTCACCTGGGGCCTGCTCCATAGCCTCCACGCAGTCGTCCGGGTTCCGGATGCCGCTACCGCCCGTGGCCATTGCGGATACGGCAGCTGCGGCGGCAGCGGCGGCGGCGGCGGCCGCCACGCAAGCGACCTCTGCTGCGACGAGTGGCGGCGCCGGTGGTGGGAGCCGCAGTCCCCCGCCAAGGATGCTCCGTCGAGTGTTCTCGAGCGCTGCGGCCCCGGCTGTCTCCACTGCCGGTGCTGATGCCACAAGTCCGGGTGCAGGTGCAAGCGGGCGCCGAGCTCGCAGCCCGCCGCTTGCTGCTATTGCTGTTGCGGCTGCCACGACGGTGGGTCCATCACCCTGCAGGTTGGGAACCCCGCCACGGGGAGGGCCTGTGGCGGAGGCGGTGGAGGCGCCGGGCGCGGCGCCGATGCCCGAAGTCGACAGGGGCCGCAGCGGCGCCGGTATCCGTCAAGGGTGTGCAGGAGGAGGACGAGAGCAGCTGCTGGGCCGATGTCGCGGTGCGGCCGCGTCGACGCCGCCTCCCTTCCCCCTGTCCCTTCCCTCCTCACCTGCTCGCAATTCGTGGGGGAAGGACTGCACGTCCCTGCCGCCGCTGCAGGCGCCCATCTCCGCGTCTTTCGCTTCCAAGGCGGCGGTGGGTGCAACCCCACCTGAGGCAATGGGAAAGACGACGACTTGGAGCCCTAGCGGCAGCAACAGCGGCAGTAGCCAGAATGTTGTAACGCCGCTATCGCATGCTCCTGGGGTTGGTGGCCGCATGGCGCGCGTGGAACCGTCACTACTGAACTTTCCACAGCTGTCGTCGCCGCCATCATCGCCGAGGCATCATCAGCAGCAGCAACAGCAACAGCGGCTGCGGCTGCAGCCTGCGCGACAAGACCACCAACAGCAGCAGGAGCTGACGACGCCTGCGGGCCAACCACCCGTATCACTCTTTGCTTTGTCCTCCAAATCCGCGCTGCCGCAGCTACAGCGGCTACAGTCGAACCATCAGTCGAGCAGCCAGCTGTGTCGCTTGCCGTCAACACACCAAAACCACCACCAGCAACAGCAGCAGCAAGTCCGGCAGTACCAACTGGGCTTTATCCAGAGCTCTCAGCGGTCCTTTCGGGCTGCGGCAAATGTCTTCCGAAACGTGCTATACGGGTTCTCGTCCTTTCGTACGACACCGGTTAACCAACTCAGCCGTGCTGCAAGCAATGCCAGCGCTCTTAGCAGCGCGCAGCCGGCCGGCGAAGGTGGAGGCCCGCCGGCTTGGCTGGATAGGCTGGAGGGGCGGTCGCTACTGGTGCTTCCCTCGGAAAGCCGCCTGCGGCGCGGTGCGGCTGCTATAGCCCACAACAGCTGGTTCGAGGCGGTCATTCTGCTGCTCATCCTGGCATCGTGCGTGTGTCTGGTGCTGGATGCGCCCTCCCTAAATCCGGAATCTCGACTTGCGCTGGCGCTGCGCGTCCTGGATTACATCTTCACAGGTGCATTCACACTGGAAGCCGTGCTCAAGATTGTGACGTTTGGCTTTGCATTTACCGGCAGGCATGCTTATATCCGCAACGGCTGGAATGTGTTGGATTTGGTGATTGTGATGCTGGGCTGGGCGTTGATTGTGGTGGAGCTTGTGGGCCGTGACGGGGTAAAGGACAACGTCAAGATGCTGCGCGTGCTGCGGGCGCTGCGCGCGCTGAGGCCACTGCGGGCAGTACAGCGCTTCCCTGGGCTTCGAGTGGTGGTGAACACGCTGTTCGCGGTGCTGCCGGCCATGTTGAACGTGGCGCTGGTGTGCGTGTTTTTCTACCTCATCTTCGCCATTCTGGCGGTCAACCTGTTCAAGGGCAAGCTGTACAACTGCGTGGATGCGGCCAGTGGGGAGCGGATTGATCCGTACTACGTACTGCCGTACGGTCAGCAGCTGACTCGCGCGTGGTGTGAAGCTGGCAACCAGGCCATATCCCAGTCGGCGTATTACAGCGCACTCAACGTATCGATGCCAGAGTACTCGATCGCGACGCAGTAAGTGGAGAGGCGTGATGGCAGGGACAGTGACAGTGGTAGTGGTAATGGTGGTGGTAATGGTGGTAATGGTGGTGGTGGTGGTAATGGTGGTGGTAATGGTGGTGGTAATGGTGGTGGTGGTGGTAATGGTGGTGGTAATGGTGGTAATGGTGGTGGTGGTCGTAATGGTGGTGGTGGTGGTAATGGTGGTGGTGGTGGTAATGGTGGTGGTGGTGGTGGCGGTGGTGGTAGTGGTAGTGTGGGGCGATGGTTCTGTTTATGTTTTGCTTTTTTAATTTGTGACTAATTTGTGTCCAGAGCGCGGGGCCTCAACCAGCGAGAGCAGAACAATGAATGGATGGTTTGTTTGGACGTTTGATTTAATGTTGTGTGTGTATGTACGTATATGTGTGTATGTGTTTGCAGGGGCTGTTGGCTGTCCGCATAACGCCACATCCAATGGCAGAAGCCAGCTTAGAGCTTTCGAGCTTTCATCCGCCATCCCATTTACCTTTTAGGCTGTAGCTACACAATTCAGCCACATTTACACAATTACTGCAGCCCTTGCGTACATTTCCTCTCACAGCTTTGACGCCATTCCCCCGCACCACCCCCCTGCCACAATCCTCCCGCATTCCTTTGCTCCGCACCCGCCGCGCGCTGCGGCCCTAGGCCCCCTGCCCGGCATCAATACTCGGAATCACCTCGCACGAGGCGTGTGCTCCTCCTTTGTGCTTATTGTGCACCTCCTCAACATCTTCACCCCGGCCGTGCAACGACGCAGGTGGGTCAACCCCAAGGCCAACTTCGACAATGTGGGCGTGGCCATGTTGACGTTGTTCCAGACCGCCACACTCTCCCTGTGGGTGGACATCACCTTCACCGCGGTGGACTCGGTGGCTGTGGACAAGCAACCGGTGTGGAACCACAACCCGTGGATCATTCTGTTTTTCGTGGCCTTCCTCCTGGTGTGCAGCTTCTTCGTGCTCAATCTCTTCATTGGCGTGACGTTGGACAAGGTGGGTAGCTGGCCGGGTAGCTGGGTAGCTGGATTGCAAAACGCGCGACGTGGAAAATTTGACAGTCAGTCATGGTTGCGTAGGTAGGTCGTTAACCTCTTTGCGTCTGGGACTGGGGGAACGCCTTGAATGTACCCCTTAGTCCCCTTCTTCCCCTTTTAGTTCCCCTTTAGGGGATGACTTCCCCTTCGGGGAGCATCCCCAAAGGGAACCAAAGGGTTGTGTTCCCAAGTCATCATTAAAATAATGATAATGATGAACAAGTAGGGACTTTGGTTCTTCCCCTAAAGAAGACAACCCTTTAGGGGACGTCTTTGTTCCCCTTTAGTGCTCTTCTTCCCCTAAAGGGGAACTTTAGGGGAAGACTTTGGTTCTTCCCCTTCTTCCCCTAAAGGGGACGAAGACGAAGGGGTGTTCCCCTTCTTCCCCTAAAGAGGACGGAGACGAAGGGGTGTTCCCCTTCGGGGCTACGAAGGGGAAGAACTAAAGAAGACAACCCTAAGGTTTTTGACCTTCTGCTGATCGATTAAAATATATTGCCGGCTGAATTACTCAGTTTGTTGCAGTAGTTGGGCTATGAATTTTTGCCGTGCGATTTTGAAGTCGGTTTTTTCCGCTCTCTGTAACCATCTCCGTCGTTCTTTCCTTCTCTTCCCTCGCATACCGGCCCCCGCACTTGTCATTTGTCTTCTCGATTTGCCATCCCGGCCCCCTTCCTGGAGCTCGTGGGTAGTTACCTGGATTTTGCAGATTTGCCTTTCCCCACTCGCCGAGGGAGCGGTCCGTAATGCCCGTATTTCCCCTGTAACTTCTAGGGCCTTTGCACCAAACCCTAAACCACATAACCACCATCAACACAATAACCACCGCAACCAACCAACCAACCTACCGCCCAAACCTTTTGTAACTGACTCAATCTCTCTCTCGCAGTTTGCCGAGCTACAAGCGGAGCAGGACGCCGCGGGCGGGGCCTTCCTGACTCCCCAGCAACAGTCCTGGGTTCAGGTTCAGCGGCTGCTGCTACGTTCCAAGGTGCCGTACGTGCCGCCGCGGCCGGCGGGTCGCCTCCGTGGGGCGGTGTACTCTGCCGTGGCGGGTCGGCGCTTTGAGTTGTCGATGCTGTTGGTCATATTGTCGAACGTGGTGTTCATTGCGCTGGTTCACACGGACATGTCTGCAACATGGCAGGTAGGGATGGGGGATGGGTGGTTGGGTGGTGGAGCTGGTGGGAGTTCGGCGGGATGGGGGAAGATAGGGGAAATTAGGATAGATATAGGGGAGTTCGGGAATGGAATGGGGGGGAAAAGGAAGGCTGGGGAGGGAAAAAAAGGGGCAGGGAGCTTCGGGGAGTGGTAAGGACTTGGTTTTTGTTCGTTTTCGTGTGTTCAGTTGAGAGCAGCACATGTTCGGAGAGGGGCCCCGGTGGGGTTGAGGCGGGTCTTGGCGGGGTGTATTCGTACCGTGGGGGGCGCTGTGGGCGGTGCTTTGCCCTGCTTTAGTGTGGGAGGGCGGGGGGGCTATCGAAGGGGGGACTCTGGAAGCAACTCAGGCAGCTCGGGTTGTCGCGAGCATGACAGAGCCCGTTGGTTGGTTTGGCACGAAGGAATGAATGCGGACTTTGGGCTTTGGACTCAACTTGGAAATGAGAATTGTGAGTTCCACGTATGCTGTGAGATCCTATACACGCATATGTGTGTTTATTACACGTTCTAGAGTTGCGCTACCCTCACATGTACACATATGCGTACGTACCTCGCCCGTTTCGCTCCTTCGCCTTGCGCCGTACAACAGGCCGTTATGTCGTACAGCAACCTCGTGTTCACGTGCATCTTTGTGGTGGAGGCGGTTCTCAAGGTGGCGGCGTTCGGCCCCCGGCCGTACTTTCGCGACGGCTGGAACTGCTTCGACTGCTTCGTGGCGGCGGTGTCGGCGGTGTCCGTGGCGCTGGACTTCAGCGGGACTCGTGACCTGAGCTTCATGCCAGTGATGCGGGTGCTGAGAGTGGTCAGGGTCGTCCGACTGGTGCGGCAGGTGCGGAGACCGTGCCGTCCTCGCACACTCTGCACGCTCTTTGAGCTCGCTCCTAGTAGTTGGCGAGAGAGGGTAGCGGACATACACGCTTTGTCTTTGGCACGCCAAGGGCTCTTATAAATATCCGTTGTAGTTTTAATTTTCGAGTCTTCGCTGCTCACAATATGTGTGCAAGCCTAGTAAATAGGTAGGCTTCAGGCCGAAAGCATTTCGAAACCAATATCCCGCTTTTCGTCAGGCAACAGGTCAGGTAACTGGTCAGGCAACAGGCGTATTGTGGAAGCTGTTGCGCTTCGTCTCTTTACACAGCAGTTTCTCTCCCACTTCCGTTGACCGAACTCTATACTTCCTGCCTGCCTGCCTGCCTGTAGCTTCACTGCCGCCCTCGTCCACGTAGTGATGACCTCCTATAGCCGGCCGGCCGATGCCCCATGCATTGCCTGTTCAGGCCACTGCATGCGAAAGATATCTCACGGCCTCGTAATCGTTCCGTCGTAAAAGTTTTCCCCCTTTGTGTTCCTTTTCGCCTCCTCCGCTCAATGCCTGGTGCTTTTTTTCCTTGCATTGCCTGTTCAGGCCACTGGCATGCGAAAGCTGCTACACACCCTCATTACCTCTCTGCCGGCACTGGCCAATGTGGGTGGTGTGATGCTGCTGTTCTTCTTCATATTCGCCATCATCGGCGTCAACCTGTTTGCCGGCATCAAGCGCGGTGACAGCATGAACGACCACGCCAACTTTGACACGCTGCCCAACGCCATGCTGCTGCTGTTCCGGTGGGTTCACCATGATGGGGGGGGGGAGGGGGAGGGGTCCGAGGGGTGCACGGTGGGATTAGTTAGATCACAAGTTACAAGTTACAGTGACTTACAAATAAGAGTTTTTTACTGCTAAATACTTTTGGGCCTGGAGATTGATGAGATAAGATTTGCAAGTATCTATAGTATTAAAATAAGAAAAGTTCCGTCACAAGTGCCGGTGGGGGGGGGAGGAGGGGCGTCCGTAAGAGCCGGGGAGGTGAGGGCTTCATGGACGGTCAAATAATGAGGAAGAGGCGGCGAATGCCGAATGGCGCTGTCAAGTCGGCCTGCGAAGAAACAGAGGAGGGTGAGATGTTGCCTGTTCAGGAACGCCCGGCTTTACCCACGATGATGACTTTCCCGGGCTAGACCCGCTCTCAGTTGGGTTCCCATCGCCTCTCTTGACTCGTTGCATCACCTAACGGGCCCCTGCAAGGAAAAAATATTTTATTAATCCCCCTTCCTTTCCCGGATTTCCAAATTTTGGCACCATTATGCCCCCCCTGCGCTGAAACCCCATCTTGTCCCCCCTTCTGTTGTCACCTTCCCTCTGGTGTTGTTTCTCCTCTCCCTCCATCGCGTCCAGGATGATCACCGGTGAGGGCTGGGACGCCATCATGCAGGACTGCATGAACACGGACGACTGCGTGCTGGTGCTGCAAGACTGGAACGTCACCTCCTCTCAACCCACCTCCCAGCCTTCGTCCGCCGTTTCCGCCACCCCCGCCCCTGCCAACTCCACCCCAGCCGACCCTGCCACCACCATCTTCCTGTCCGCCGGCACGTACCTGGACCCCTCGGATCCGCTGCTGGCCGCCCTGCCCTCCGACGCCACGGACAACCAATGCCCCCTCAGTCCCTTCGCCGCCGTCGTCTACTTCCCCGTGTTCGTGGTGCTGTGTACCTTCATTCTGTTGCAGCTGGTGATTGCGGTTCTTAGGGAGAACCTTCTGGAATCGGATGACGGCGGTGACGAAGCGGAAGCAGCTCGCCCGGTGCCTAGGACTGCCATAGAGAGCTTTACTAAGGCCTGGTGCGCCTCCGTGGCGGAGGCTGCTGGCCCTGGCGGTGGCGGCGGCGGTGGCGGCGGCGGCGGCAGTGGTGGTGTCGGCGGCTTGCTTCACGCCTCTCGGTTGGCAGGTGTCTTGGCGGTCAGCCACCCGCCGCTGGGGGCCCTCGGGAGCGACCACCCGCGGCAGGAGGTGCAGCGCGTGCTGCTGAGGCTTCGGGTCCCTCTATACGAGGGCAACAAGGTGTGTGAGGGCAACGAGGAAAAACCGACTGGCATGCTGGCCTCTGCCTCGCATTCCCCTTCATCACCTGGATTCCTTGCTTGGTCGTTTCCCACAACGACTTGTCCATATCCCTCACTCTCACCTCTCTCTTTCTCTCTCTTTCTCTCTCGGACCTGCTCAGGCTCCTGTACGTGTATATCTCTACGTGTATAGGCGTCCTCGTGTGTTGAGGTCTTGAAAGGGTTTGAAGAGCGTTGGAGGCTCCCAAGCTGTTGCTCCTGATCTCCCTGCCTCTACCTCTTATCTCCCCCCTGCCCCCATACGCGCCTCCACCTCTGCCCCCACCTCACCCCTCACACACCGCCTGCAGGTGTCGTTTATGGAGACGCTGCACGCGCTGGCGGGCAGTGTGTGCGCCACACCGCTGCCACCGCCCGAGGAGGACAAGCTGCACAGGAAGCTCAGCAAGCGGCTGCCGAAAGCCCAGCCGCACGCAAAGTACACCTCAGCGCATGTGAGAAGAGGCACCGCGATGATGGGGTGTGCGTGTGTGTGTGCCTGTGTTTTTGTATGCATGTATGTATGTATGTATGTATGTATGTATGTTGTTACAGGGTGGTTAACTTCGCCAGCGGCCCCCTTTCCCGGGGCAGTCCCTGCTCTCCCCTGCTAGAGGGGCACCCTAATCCATTCACCCCATCCGACTTCAGAGTGTATTCGTTGGGGTCGGCAACTCACCACCAGCATCCAACCAAATCTAGCGGATCAACGGCGCATCAACTTCGTTCCTGGTCAGCTTGCTTACGATACTGAACATGTGCCGGAGGCCGCAGCGGTCTCGTAATTCGCAGTGGCCTTGTGTGTTACCCGCGGTTGGGTGGGGGGGGGGTGGGGTCTTGGCGCAGAGGGGGTTCATTTCATCAGCGTATTGTAGCGCAGCCGAGTGTGTGTTGTTACTCCTGTTGGGAGGGCCCCCTTGAGGACGACACAGTGCTCGCACGCTCAGCTCGCTCACGCCACATACTCTTCACTCCACCGCATTTCCCTTTCTCTGTACCAAGTCTGTTGCTTTCCATCTTAAGCAACAGACTTACCTCACACTCCAACCCTACCCTGCATGCTATAGTCCTCTTCTCTTCTCTTCCCTCCACTCCACTCCGCTCCACTCCACTCCGCTCCACTCCACTCCACTCCACTCCACTTTATCCCGCTCGCCCGCCTCACTGAACCTCACTGACTCCGGTGGTGTGCCTTGGCAGTACCATGCGGCCAACTCGGTGGCGGCTGCCGTACGGGGCTTCCTGGTACGACACAGCCTTCGGAAGGAGCTGGCGGCTTGCGAGACTAGTCCCGAGGAGGCTTTGCAGCAGTAGCAGTAGCAGTACTAGCAGTAGTAGTAGCAGCAGCATTAGACAACGGGGATGACAATGACGATGACGATGATGATGGAGACGACGGCTGCAGTGCAACAGAGGCCGCGGCCTGTCCGCGGCCTTACGTCCGCAACCAACGCGACCGCAGGCGGTGGCGTCTGCGCTGGCAGGGACGAGGAGGCGCGGACGAGGAGGAGGAGGAGGAGGGGGAGGAAAGGGTTTAAGGGCGGGGAAAGCGAGGGACTCGGGACAAGGAGGTGCAGCTTCGCGGCAGCAGCAGGAGTTGTAGCGCGTCATTTCATGTGTGTATGTAGGCTCACGTTTGCTTGATTGCCTGCTCTCTTCTCTTTCTCTCTCTCTCTTCTCTCTCTCCCCCCCCTCTGCATACCCCGGAGGGTGCTGGTGGTGCGCAAGTGGGGGGTTTGGAGAATGGGGAGCTGCGCATGTGCTGGTTCATCCATCACCCTCCTCCCTGGGCTGGGCGGCAGGCAGCGTATTACTGCACTGCACTTGCAGCTGCTCGTGTCCGTGTCTCGGGAGGAGGGGGCGGAGGAGGAGGAGGGTTGAAGAGGAAAGGACAAACAATTCGGGAGAGGAGGAGGGTGATTGCGTCTGGGGTGTGTGTGTTGGGGGGGGGGGAGAAGGGAAGCACACGGAGTGTGTGTGGTACTCTGTATGTCCTGTCTGTCAGGTATGGACCGGGCATCTGCAGGGTGCCTCACTTTTATTCTCTGCGTGGTTCAAGTGCTATATGCATATATGCATATAGTTGCTAAGGATTGCGAGGAGGTTTTACCTATGTGTCCATGCTCCTGAGGATTAACACTTATGAAGTGAACGAATATATTTCTTTATATGCACACTTCACACAAATGCCCTGGACCCGGACCCTGGACCCGGACAGCCGTCATGTGATTGTGATTTTGGGGCTCCCGGTCTGGTCTGTCTTGTTTTTATAGGATGTTTTTATGTAAGAGCTGCCGATCCTATTATGGGGGGGGGTATGTTGATTTGCTCGTTTGTTGCATATATGTGGTATTATAAAACTGGATCAATATTAATATATTGCGCTTCTATCTGTGTCGTATTAACGGCCGCGGCAGGATAGGGGATGGCGGCATTGAGGAGAGCTACATATGGCAGCTGCCGTGATGACTAGCAACCCTCCGGAGGGTGTGGACGATGATTGGCGTCGTTGTATTGCTTCGAGCCTATTGCTTAGCTGGCTGAACTGGTCGACAGCCTTGAAGTATCGCAATTATCGTAATTTGATAATGGGGGGCCCCACAGCAACAGATTGCAAACTTTTCGCATATGTGCGGATATGTGCACGCGCATACATACATACCCGTGGTGTTCATGTGTGTCGCAATGGCACGCGTACTTTATTGTATCACGTCTTATCGCAGGAAAAGAACCGATCGGCGGAGGCTAGATCCCGTGATACCCAGGATACTACTTACTTATGTGTGTGTATGTGTGTGAATGTTGCATGTTGTTGTTGTTGATGCGGAGTGGGAGGCTTCTGGGCCATTTGCACACACGTGTGGATGGTCACAACTAGGATTGAACACCAAACAGCGCCATCCACCACAGCATAACACCACACTGGGTTACTAAGCCATACCCGGTCTGCAAGTCCAAGACGGTTGATTCTGCCTTCAGCCGCCACCAATCGAAGGTAGGGATTACCGATTGTGTCAACGTCTAAGCGATTAGACATTTCACGTTTTCTAGATCCATAGAGGACCACCCAAGCTGGTGTACCGAGGGATCGAACCTAGGACATCAAGTCGCAACTTGCTGTCGTATTTTCAGCGCGTGTGTGTTCGTGTATAGACGCGTGTGTATGTGTCTCTGTAAGTGTGTGAGCATCCATATACCTGTTTGTGTATGTATACTGTGTAAATGTGTGTATATTGTGTAAATGTGCGTCTGTGGGGTGGTCGGAGTGTGCGGCTTCCGAGCAGTGAGGCACGAGTGAGCAGTAGTATTCTATCTGGCGGGGTGGTGCGCGGGTATAACGGTGGGGTAACGTATCGCATCGGCGCCATTGTGTGTATGCGTGTGTATGTATGTATGTATGTACGTGTGTGTGCTTCCGTCAATCGGCAGCAACGTGAAAAGAGCCTCGCAAAGCACTGATGTGTGGCTTCTCTGTGCATGCAAAGGTGCTGTTTTACTACGGTTGCACAATATCGAGCCATGTGATGCCGCCTCTGCGGCTTTCCTGTCCCGCCTGTTTATCCGTATGTCTGTCCCATCTGTCTAGCATAGTTTCTGCTGGCACACTGGCACCCTGGTGTTGCAGCCGTGCGCGTAGCATCGCGGCGTGGATGACTTGGTCTTGGTCTTGAAGCGGGGGGCCCCCTGCACCCCCCTGTATTGCAGCCCTTTGGAACTTCGACCTGGGAAGGCTCCCCTGCTCGTTAAAATAACACTGTTGTCCTTAAAGGTTGTTTGCAATGTTTCTTTCTTTTCTTTTTTCCTTCCAGTATCCCGTATGATAGATCGAATGGCCATCCGCTGCTGCGCTCGTTTTGCGTTGCAGACTCAACTTGGGGAGGAGACTGGTTGGTTTGTCGGTTTGTTCGCCGCAAAGTGCCCCCGGGAGCCATTGCTGGGCCTCTGCTGTTACACTTAGGTTTTGGTTGATTGTTACTCGTCAGGTGCTCATCCGGTTCTTAGCTGCAGCAGGTGTCACAGCAAGTAATAAGAGCAGACGCTGCTTAGTGACGTGAAGGCACACTGTGCCAAACATGCCATGTTCATGCTGAAACCATGTTTATGTGTATGGAGGTGGCATCGGTGGCCCGCTACCCCTTGTGGACACATCATTACAGTGGACATGACCGCACCGTGTATCAAGTTATAGCGCTGATTGCGTGAGCGATCCCTGTTATGGCTTCTTGCTTGGAATCACTTCCTGACAGAAATTCATTCGGATTCGGGCGAGGGTCAAGAACGCTTCCTTATTACCCTGTGACACGTCTTTGGCTCGTACTATAACCCTGACATCGGTTTTTTTTACAAATTTGTAAAACATGCTCGCTACGTATGTTCCAGCAGGCGCATCCGCCGTATAAGTTTGCTCGCGGCCTTATGAGCGGCAACATTATGCCGTATATGTGGTTCCTATCACTGCCAGGTGCTGGAGTAATGCACGGCTGGCAGACAGTTTTGCTTAAACACACATTGTGGCCCTAAACTAAAATCCAAGCCATGTAATTTGGCCAGGCTGGCAAGGTCGTCGGATGCGACCAATGCATACACGATTTTGGTCTGGGATGGCACCGATGATCATCCTCTGTTGCGTTACGAGTGGCTGATTGGCGGCCTCCCTGGACTCTGGTCCTGACCCAATTGGTGAATTTTATTACCTCCCGCCCTGAACCCCATGACCCGTTGAAGTGGAAAAAACTTTGCACGATCACGGTTAGAACATAACGGTCACAATCGATTTTGGACAATATGTCCGTCTATTTATCGTCTACTGGAAACAGCTCCTCGCAGGTGTGTCATGTACGGCACCAGCGGTTTCAGGGGATCTACATAAAGGACCCCCAGGGACCTAACCACTGCCGATTTCGCAAGTGAGCTTTTTGAATAAGTGAAGGCAACACAGTATGCTGATTTACGTTTTCCAGCTGGTTCTTCTCAGTACAGTCTCGAACAATCCCCTCTCAGCTGCGACTCAGCTGCCAAGCAGCCGTAACAAACCGATCGAGCCACAACCTGCCGTACATAACAACAAGCCGTGACATGTGCAAGCATGGCGCAAGCAAATTGGCCACATAAGGCAACCGTCCCGATATGGTGCCGTGTTCATAATAATCTACCTGGCGGAAGTGCCTGGAAATGTTTCTTCGTCTCAAGCCTTTTTTTAGCAGTGTCTACCTCAACCAGCGGAGCGCTGCATGAAGCAACGAAACCTGCAGTACTCCTCCTCCAGCCTGTCCGCCCAGGAGAACGTCCATCAATACTTCATGACCAAGAAGCACATTATTCCAAAGCACCTCGCGCCCAGGCCCTGGGCCCTGATAAGTTCCTCCAGGGAGGAAGTGATTGGGGATGAGGCCTCGCAATTAATAACTTATTCCAATTAGATCCCCTGAATTAAAAGTGGGAGGTGCGGGCTTAGGTGACGCAGATGAAGGTTCAGGTGCAGGCTGTGGAGCGGTAACAGAGGAAGTAGCGAGCCCGCCGGAATCAGCGGATCCAGGGGCCGGTTGCGAAACATCTGCGGCTGCAGCTGCTGCAGCTGGTGCGCATGCGGGAGTGTCTTGATCACCTACAACAATGGTGATTTGTGAATCACTCGTTTGCGACCCCGCTGCGTTGCTCTGCTCCCTCTGCACCGCTTTGGCGTACATGACCCAGAGGTACATTATACAAGCTACCGAGACCATGACCATGTTCCAGATGAAACCTGCCATGTCAATAACCAAGCCAACTTCAGGTGGGATACCCGGCTGCATGATTCGCACTTGGGGCAATGCAAACAGGACTGTTGCAGCAAGGCCCGCGTCATCCATGCTGACCTCATGCCGCTTAGACACCGTGTAAACAGCCCGTGTTAGAACGATGAAGCTCAGGAGCCACATAAGCAACACAATAAAAATGGAAACGAAGCGTGACGTTTTCGTACGCACGCCCCAAATTGTGAATAAGACCTCGGACAGTGCGGGGTTGCCCACCCTGGAGGCTTGGTAGCGTCGACGTGGCTCGCGAACATAGTAATTCATACCAGAGCCCTTCTGGGTGACAGCGATTACATAGGGAAGCCGGAAAGTGCTGTTGTCGTCTATCGCCAAGGACATGCTCGCACGGATGTAGAGCCTGTACCTGTGATTGGTACAAAATGAAGTACGACGGCATATGTGGACCTGTTACATGCAACAGTTGTTTGGATTTGGAATTTCCTCACGATGTTTTTGAATTAAAACTACTTGCCCGAAGGTACTAAGGGATAGAAGCGGCAAGGAAGCACGGCGTGGTTGTAACATCACTTTGGTGTCGTGTGACCGTTAGCGCACGCACGGTGCGGGTTGCAATATATGGGACAGGACATTACCGGGCTAACGGTATCGCATTAGCCACAATAATAATAATAATAATAATAATAATAATAATAATAATAATAATAATAATATATAAATATAAATATAAATATAAATATAAATATAATTATAATAATAGTGTTATATGTCGCAAGTCGGACTAGTTCCTACAAGGGACAAATAAGCGCGATCAGTCGTACCACGGTACAGCATGTGGTGAGGCGGATTCGCTGCATATGAATGCTCGCCACGAGGGATGTAGGGCCGGTGCCAACATTTACATACTAGGATCGACTGCTTATAACTACGCACTTTTAGGGAACGACAGAACAGATAGCGTAGGCGTTAGCTGGGGCAGGCAGGTCCCAGACTGCAGTGAGCCAACGAACGACGGCACATGTAGGGCCCTACCCCGACGAGCTTTCCTGGTAATTACTCCGGCTGCGTCGAGCATAGTATAAAATTGGTAAATACTTCTACTACTAGTGCAGGAAGTATGACATTTTCTTTAGCTTTTGGAGTTTCCATTATTTACAGTCCCGGGGGCCTCATGCTGAGCCGTACGCCATACGCTAGCGGTTGCATCGCGTATTGCATATCTTACAGGTTCACCGGTAAGCGACTGCCACGCGTCTTTGTGCTTAGGCTGAATGCCCCCGGTCTTGAACGCTGCACAGCCAAGTGTGTGTAGCCCACACCCGATTACCGCGATGAAGCAACCGCGCTTGTACAGCTGGCAGGCATGTGCCGCGTGCAATAACAAGGGGGGTCATCCCTCTTCCGGGCCATGTCTGGCCTGGCGGGGTAGGTCTTCCCCTGCCTCGGTTTTTGAGTATTTGACAAAGACCCGGTGGCGTTTTTTTTTGTTTTTATTTGGCGTTCTTGAGGTTTGAGGGCGTGTGAATAGGCTGGCAAGGCGGAACGGTGGAAGATAGCTTGGTTAGGGAGCCCTGAGGGGGTGTGGAGCCTCTCGTGCGGCTCTCGCTTAGTACGGTTTGCAGCCTTTGGCGCTGCTGTGTTGCCTAGCCAGGGGCTGGGAGAGCGCCCCGGCTGGCGTGAGCAAGTTAGTGAGGCGTACGCGGAGGAAAAGACAGAAGTGGAGCCGTCCCCCGGTCAGGGCCCCCGGTGCTCGTCCTTTATCTGCGGGCGAGCCACCCACAGTGTAACACCCCGTCAACAGCAGCAACAGACAGACAGACAGACAGATATATAGACAGACAGATATACAGAGACAGACAGACAGACAGACAGACAGACAGACAGACAGACAGACAGACAGACAGACGGACAGACAGACAGACAGACAGACAGACAGACAGACAGACAGACAGACAGACAGACAGACAGACAGACAGACAGACAGACAGACAGACAGACAGACAGACAGACAGACAGACAGACAGACAGACAGACAGACAGACAGACAGACAGACAGACAGGCAGGCAGGCAGGCAGACAGGCAGACAGACAGACAGGCAGACGGACAGACGGACGGACAGACAGACGGACAGGCAGACAGGCAGACAGGCAGACAGGCAGACAGGCAGACAGGCAGACAGGCAGACAGGCAGACAGGCAGACAGGCAGACAGGCAGACAGGCAGACAGGCAGCAGATGTGTGGGTTTTAACGAAATTTAAAAGTGCAACATCTTTCAGGTAGCGAGGTCTCACAGCGGTTCAGAAAGGAACCCCAGCTTGCCCACAGAGGAACCTTACCTGTCAAAGGGATACATTCGAAGATGCCTTTCTGCAAAGACCGGTAGATTATCTAGGGCAGACGACGCCTTGCCAATCGTTTTTATCGTGATGACTTCCCTGTTGTTGATGGTGATTGTCAATGTCAAGCGGGGATCTAGCAATCTGCGCGTTCCATTCTCAAATTGGGGAGCCTTTCTTGACAGTTCTGGAGGCTCCCCAAACCACACGTTGACGAGGGCACTGGCCACGAACTTCTTCACGTCCACATCCTGCATACGTACGAGGTAGGGCATGGATGGCTAATGAGGTCAGTAAATGTTTTGATCCCTCGTATAATAGCTAGGGACGGGTTACCTAATATTATTCGGGAAGGTGCCGTGGATTATAGGTGCGCACGTTGCACAGTAATGCACCGACCATTGTACACAGCTCGATCGTTTGCTCGTCACGGATGATCGATTATGAATTAACATGTCGCCTGCTGTACAGAGGCTGCTGCATAGAGGCGCGAAGACCTTGTCAACCCAGGCGCACACGCACACGCATATACACACACGCATACACATACAGACGCATACTCATACACACATACACATTCACCTGAATCACAATTGAGACAAAGGCGGTGTTGTTAAGAGGCTGCATTTCCGCCATGTCAGAGTAGTCGAAGACATCCTCATATGGGGAGCAGTCGCGAAATGGCGACGGTTTATGGTCCTTGACGCCGAAACGCATAGGATTGGGAGGAGGATCAGGTGGTAGCTGTGGCGGTGGTAGCAGTGGCGGCGGTGTAGGAAAATCCTCTTCTGGTGACGACGGCAGGGGATTATAATAAATATAGTCATAGGTGAAAATAGCACCACCGACTACGGGGATCGATTGCATTAACTGGTCATCGACCGGGCGTAGGTCGCAAAGCATCGTAATCGGACCGTTGTTGCTGTGCTTGAAGCTGGCACCCATGTACGAGAGGCCCCAGGGGATGGCAAAGACGACCGCCATGCACAAAACGTGCACCAAGGGCACCCAGCCAGCTGGCACAGGCGGGTGGAGCGCGACGTTTACAGCGCTTTTGCAGGCTGTTGCCACGACCGTCATAGTTTTGACAAAAGCGAACAAATATCGGCGTTTGCCATAAATCTTTGGCTGCACCCCGCCTGCAGGGCTTTCGCTTACAGGGCCCTTTTCAGCTCCTTGCGGTTGGGCATACGTCTTCCTTCTTTTTCCCCAAGGCATCCGTCTGTTGAAACCTGACACCATGTTGAGCTATAGATAGCAATTTATTGTAATATTAATCCAGTGATTTTTAGGGTTGAGGAAGAGCTGTCTATCTCGGTGGCACAGAGGCGCCTGACCAGCAGTAGTGCGCCTGACAAGCAGCTGGAACGCCGTATAAGGGTGTTGGAGAACACTGCGCGTGCGTATGGCGTATGTTTACGCGCCCGTCAGTACGTTCATTATCAGAGGTACGTAAACAACAAACTCAGCACCTTGTTATGATTGTCCTTGCCTGGATATCCTCACATCCTCAAGATATTTATTCCTTCCAACGAGGCCGCCCCCTATTAGCTTTTGAGGCTCGCAGAGGCTGGCGCCCACCGCGCCATTAAGTTGCATAGGCAGCCAGCACTAGCTGGTGCCGCAATACCCGCATTTATTTATTCATTAATTCGTTAGCCACTTCTGTCAAGTATAAGCGCGACATGTGTGCACGCCCGTATTTAGACCAAATTATGCCTCATTTGGGGCGTGATGCGTAGCATGCGCAAGGTAGTAAGTTACTAAATGATTTGATATGCAGTACTGAGGGCATGGGCAGGTTTGTAAGGCCTGCTTAAACAGCCGCTTAAATCACCCTGCACGTTGCTCAAAAGCATCGTGCTGTAGGAAGCCTGTATAAGCTGGTTAATGCTTTTGGTTCATCAGCGGTGAATTGCATTTCCGTGCTCCTGTCCCCCTTAACCTGGATCTCATGGCTCTGCCGAAGCTGACCAGGATGAACGTGCTGTGAAAGAGCGACAAAGGGGACCCGCTTCCAAGAGGCCTTACACTATAGAAGAACACAGCCAAGCCGCACGCCGGCCGCGCGCCAGCAGCATTCCACGCCGCCCAAGCCGCGCGGCCGCTCCTTGAAAGAGAGGGAGAGAGAGAGAGAGCCCCCCATTCCCCCGGCGCCCCTTCTCCTCCCTATATCCCCGAAGCACCCCTGTCACGCCCAAACACCTGAAGCGTACAAATTATGTGCCACGACCGAGTTAGTCGCTATCCGCAGGTGGTGAAGCCAACCGAAGGTAGTTGGACGAGTCGCGTCTTAATTCAGTTGAGGCTTAGGGAACTGCTTGACTAGCGCATAAGGCGCTTTCCGTTGTGGTTTGAGGATGTTCATTTGCTATTCATCTGTCGTTAGTCGGATGAACGCTACGCATCCAGGATAGGGCCTCGTGCGATAAGGCCCGGCGCGGATCAGTCGATCCCTCGCCATAAGTGTGAGTGCGAAGAGGCCAACCTTTTGTCGTTTGGCTCTCGAAGCAACTCTTCGTGATCGTATTGAGCAAAAATATTAAGAATAATAGCATCACAGGTGGGCAGCTAAGCCCGATTTATGTAACAAGCCTGCGAGCCCACTCTACCTCGTGACGCACATTCGCCATCAGAGCAGAATTATCAGAGGATCTATACGGCTTTTCTCAAGGTCCGCTCTTAGTGCTGTTACCGTCGCGGTTGACAGGGATTAGTCCCCAGCCCGTCCTCGCCTGCCACGATCGCGCTCTCTGAGGTGAACTCAGCCGGATTTCGCCGGTTAAGCCTGGCGAAAGCTTTTAAGGAAAGCTCTTATTTCGTAGTATTTCCCACAGCCAAACTACCAAGAAGGTCGACGAGTCGTCCAGAAGCAGGCGGCCGTAAGAAGTTACTTCTTACTGTAAGGGATCTGACGCCAGTTACCTGAGTTTGTTGTGTAGCTATTATTGAAAGCGATCCGTCGCTGTATCTTATCCAGGTGGTGTTGCCCATCTGTTGAGCTAGGCTTTCGCGTCCGCGCACTAAGCTGACACCGCTCGCCAGCCTTCCGAGGCACATCGAATACGCTTCACTGTCCATTGAGCGTCCTTTTGTTTCTTTTGCAACTGTTGAACTAGCTGGCGGTGGCTCTGTTGGCGCATCCATGTGCCGGGCCCCACCTGTTGAAGGACTACTTCACTTTGCCGTACTCAGCCACCAAATCGTTCCGAGCATTGGTGTGTGTCCCAGGACCATTGTACGTGCACACAGGCTCCGGCCATACAGACTCAGCAGTGAAACAGTGTCCCCGGACATTGCCGACTACCGTGCTCTCACTAGAGCCCTGTAAGAGTCTCATTATCTTGTGAGTGCTGGCAGATTCTCTACGTCACATCAATCCCCATCGCTCAGCTTGGCCCATTGGGTCCATCGAGCATTCGACTGCGCCAGCGCGCCCTAGGAAAGGTCACACGAGGCAGCAAGAAGGAGTGCAGGAGGGGCCGTCCCTCCCTGCTCAGCAGGAGCAGCCTCACCCAGGTCTCGAACCTGTCACTGAACAGCATGAGCTGGAGGAGGAGGTGCAGTGGCGTGACAACCCAGAGTACTCCGGTACTGCATCAGAGTCATGCAACATTCTTATATCAGAAGCACGCATCGAAAATGCAGGCAGCAGCGGTGATCTGGAGCACGTGGATGCAGCTGAAGTAGCAGAGAGTGAACATGCTGCCAGCTACTCGCCTGATTCACAGCTGGGTCCGACATTTCGGCTACACAGCCGAGCTTCTTCAGCAGTCACTTCGGTACCTCAGCAGTTTCCACTCCTAAGCAAACTCTCAGGAGAGTCCGTGCAGTCCTCACCCTCTATCAGCCCTTGGTACAGCGTTACCAAAATGGAGAACACAGACTCTTCATGGTCCGGACCCACCATGTTCCGTTTCCGTCGCTAGGAGTTCCCTGCCTTTAAGACGGGGGTGTTGCATGTAATGCAAGCCCTGCATGCACACTTCTGACTCAACAAAGGACAGGTGCCTGTTGATGAAGCTCTCGGCTTGACAACACCTTTCCCACACCAGGTACTATGTATGACATCTGGCATAAGCAGCAACTATGCACATTAGTTAAGGATGCTCGTGCATGGTTCATCTTCCGCTACACTGCAGCTGCCCAGGCAGCCTGTGCAGAGGGAGAGGATGTGTGTGTGTGTGTGTGTGTTACATGGTTGGGGGGTGCGTGACCCCATACCTGTAAGACTACCCATACGAGCCGAGGGCCCAAGGGCAATACTACAACGCCTAAAAGCCACGGAGAAAAGGAGAAACACCGCACATCAGCCCAGATTAGCGTCCAAAGGGGGTAATTGAGTTTCGGTGAGCCCAAATACGTTCCAACATCCTCGCCAGACGTGCAGGTTCCCATTGCATGGCCTCCAACATACTCTGTTGATGATCGAATCCCTCTTCAGCACGAATATCATTATAGGCTGGGCATTCCAATAACACGTGTTTTTCATCCTCAATTCGGCTATTAGTACCACAACAGTGGCAAAACCGCTGCCCCCTGAGGACATGGTACTTCTTCGTGCTCTGTTTGCCTCCAAAGCCCAGCAACATAAACGAAACTGCATTAGCTTACGATGTGCTAAACGAGGAATGAAAACCTTAGCATGTGTTGGCCACATGACAGCTGCAGCTCCCGAAAAGGGCAGCCCCATCCAGTGCTTATACTTTGCCATTTGCACTCCCGGTTGCTTCCCATCTGATGGGTACTCCTCTGGCAAGACAGTCAGACGCGTATGGTCCCAGCCACTCACCAAACGCTCTCTTAGTGCCGTTATTATCGCTCCTTCTGGTAGAGGTCTACTCAACAACCAGTCAACACGCTCCTTTACCCCCACGACTTCTTGCAGTATTCCGCTCCAAATGTTGCACTCCAAGAAGGAAAACAGTCGTAACATTGAGATTCCCCAACCCTCCCATTCCGGGTTGGTCAGGGCATCGGTTATCTCCTGCCGTAAAACGGCATGAGCAATGGATCCCACTTGCTTTTGAAGGCGGTTCCAGAAACGGAGAATCTGCTTCACCATGTAATATCGTAAGGGGAGTTCAGCCAGCTCCGCGTACAACAGCCTGTGGGATGGCCATGCCGTCCCCACTACCTGCCTCATGAATAAAATCTGCAGCTGGACTGCACTATCCTTCAAACAGGCTTCGAACATGCCCTCCGCAAGATTGGCTTTATTAGAGGATGTAGCGGCAGCAGTGCACACTAGTGTGACAGCAGTACTGCTGTCAAGCCAGCATTGGACGGTGAGAGCCTTCTCAAGTATTATCTCGGAAAATTAGATGAACCTTTTGCTCATCAGTGTAAGACAGCTAAGATTCTTGAGTACTTACAGACCAGGCAGGACACCGGCTCGCCACAGCTGTACCTGCAGCAGGTATGGGAGCTTGAGCCGTACATTCGAGACTCATATTCCTGTGCAGTTGTTGCTGAGCGCTATGTTGAAGGCCTGGATCCAGCAGTGCGGGAGCATATCAGAACCAAGTACGAGCTCACTCCATGTGAAGGGTGGTATGCTCGAAACTGAACAGCATTGTGGTGGATGCCAAAACAATCTGGATCAACCTGCAGCAAGCCCAGGCAGAGCGGGAGCGGCATGCCAGCAGCGATCATGCCTCTGGGTCTAAGCAATCTATTGAGAAGGAGAAATGGCTGAACAAGCAGCCAAGCAAAAACAGTGACAGTGGCTCCGGCCAGTCTAAGTTCTACTGCAAGCAACACAGCACCAACAACTCCCATGACAGCAAGGACTGCCAGATTCTAAATGGCCACACAGGGGGAAGTGGTCAGAGCGCCACAGCTTCGGGCTCCTATCAACCTGATGAACTGGCAGCAATGATCGCCGCAGCAGTACAGACCACATTAGGCGCAAGTCATGCTGCCATGGTCTCCATGTCCGAGCAGCAGGCCCCCCTCACCAAGTATGCTGCCGATCAGCAATGGCGGCAGAACCGTGGTGGCAGTAAAAACAACAACGAAGGTGCTTCCAATAGGCGTCCGTGCATGTATGATGGACCACCCTGCACATATTGTGGGCG